AACAAGATCATTTGATTTCTCATTCAGATACAATGATGGTGTCCTTTCCATGATCAGTCGAAACTTTTCTGATTAGGTTCATAAATATATCATGCAGAACAAAAGGAAAGGAAACAAAGGACATCTTCATCTGCCTCAATTTTAGATATATACCTCGAATTTAAAATACGCAGTCATCTAAATACCAGAATCGATCACAAACGAATCAATTTTAATTTTTAAATTATCAATTTCCCCCACCATAGTAGGAATATATACCATCTTCACCTGCATACGGGATACACATTTCCGAACTTATTCAGCATTCTAGAGCTTACAGATACTACTCAGACTTTGTGAACGTCACCAGTATCTGAGCCGAAAGTTGATGAACCAGGGGTATGTCAAAGAACGTCTTGTCGTTTCTATGAAAAAAGTTCATTGGAAGGTAACAAGACCTTGTTGATAAAAATTCCGTTTCAACACATCATGCATTCATTCTACGTACTAACGTTGTTTATCATCTTAAAGGGGCACTAGCTGTCAAATTCATTTTTACCAATTTAACTCAAATTATCATATTAGATTTATAACGATCATTCAAATTATAAAAAGTCTAAAATAAACGATTTACAGGGCATGGGATCGATAAACTTTTCGTGTGTATTTTAGTCTAGACGCCATCTAATTAACTATCGAGATGACACCGACGGACACATAACACGATTTAAACATAATCATAATTTTAAATAGATACACATACCTCGTGCAAAACCACTGGAATGTTTGTAAAGACGTAATTAACAGTCAGACAAAAATGACATGGTTGTGGCCAAAATTATAGATATCGAAAGAATGTTGAACCTTTGTTTATTCTATGTCCATGTCAATATTATTTAGCTGAGTTTTAATTTATTGATAAGACAATCAATATTTTTACTAAAAAAAAACATTATTAAAGACCAAACAGCCTATTGTTGATGCGCATCAACTAACGCAACTTGGTAGTGACATAAAAGCTCTATGACGTTGTTTCTAGCCATGAAAAAAACGTCAAATTATAACGTCCTATTTCGCGTTTTTCACGGATTCCAACATGGTGTACGCTTAAAACTACGTCTTCCAAGAAAAGAGGAATTAAGCGTCGCACTGATACTTAGTGGAAATTAAACACAAATGGACACAAAAGATACTACACTATATATCTGTAACCTCCGTTCAAAAAAAAATAATAGTAAAAATATAAATTTTGAACTCGGCTTTTTGCATTTGCGCCGATCTGCATTTCACTTTTTTTCTTTCACTTACGCCGATTTTGTCTTTCATTTGCGCCGATTGTGTACAGGTATATTATAGGTGAACGTTATTTTTTTATTTATCATATAAACCTCTTCCGTTAGCCAGTTGTACATATGTTATGAATTGTCAATTATAACATGTATATAACTGTTGTCCCCTGCTCACAAAGGGGAGGTGGGAGTAGAATTTCGAGCAGGATAAGTCAATTTAAAAGATATTTGTGCACTCTGTTTACATCCACTAAAATCACGGAGTAAAATTCTATTTACAGCATTTCAAAGCACCACAATAAAATCCATAAAAATGTAATACTAGTACAATGAATTATTATCTTGCCGAGAATTTATATGCCACACATCTGATATATAATTCTTTCTTGTCATTTTATCTTTTCTATACTTGCCAATAACGAAATCCATCTTTTCTTTCTCGTGTCAAAACGAAGTTCTCGAACAGTATGACCAAAATTATCTTAAACATAAGGGAACACTATTTATATCCATATATTACCATGCAATATACATTCTAGGTTTACTACATGTACATGTATTTACTCGTATAGCAAATAAAGTATCGGGCTAGTGATAAAAAAATAAAATAGGCGCTAATGAAAGAATCAAATCGGCGCAAATTAAAGATCGAAATTTTTTTTAAATCGGCGCAAATCTCGTACGCCCGTGTAACTTTACACTGGTAGATTTATATGACTTACGCTTAGAATTTTAACTTAATATGTGATTTTCAAAACTGAGTTTTCAGAAGGTTAGGCCGATAAACAATACTTTCTAGAAGTTTCGATATACTGGCAACGTATGCATGATGAGATTAACTTATTTCTTTAAGATTCTCGTAAATTAATGGTGATCTTGCAATAAAGTTAAATTTTATCTATACTGCTTAATTGACAAAATCTTATAGTAAAAATAAAATGATAAAGGTACATTGTATTTTGTCTTTTGTTTCATTTCAAATTGTCTTAAGGAGAAATGATAAAAATATAAGAATTAATATACTAAGTGAATGTGAATTAAAATAAAAATTTACGGTTTTTAAAACTTAACTTGTTGTAAATTTAACTTATGACAAAAACAATTGCTTCAAGAAGGAGATCCAACATAAAATTTCTCACTTTCAAAAAGCTACAATGACCGGAAGGATTGAAAAAAAATTTCGATTTTCAATGCCGGCAATCCGGCTATACATACAATCTTGTCTTTGTTTTAATTTCCAAAGTGAGCTATTTAGATTCATAATATTTCATCCTGTTTTGAGAAATACTTTATATTTTTCAACGGAAAATTATTTCTTAGATTCTAAATCAATTTTTGAATTAAAAACTTATTTGTATTTTATATTTACTGTCTCGTTTATTCAAAACACGTGAGGTAGTAATAACGGGGATCGTATTTTATGATAGGTTAAATGGATGTAAAACGTTTTAGAATCAAAAACTTTAATTCATATATTATACCTATAATTTTAATTTTCTTATATTTTAAATATTTGAAGAAATAATGAATCCACAAACTAGATGGAATAATTTGTATACGCTCGTCTTAGTCGGGACACATAATGGTATAAAGAAGTCCGTCCGTGCTAATGTCTGTCCGTCTGTCAATAGTAGCGAAAGTGTGCGCTAGGGCGAAGTTCTGAAATTGACGCGACAAAAAAACCCACACATCTAGTCTAATATAGTCAAATAGTCTGTAAGTAATCATCTTTCATTTCTCTTTTTATTTTCAATGATTTTGCTAATGAGATGGAGAGGACAAAAACAGACTTTCCATTCTAAAGCGTCGTAAAAGGTTATTTCGAACAATTTTTCATTCCGACGGATGGTGTTTCTGAAGGTTAATTTTGTACGGCAACAACATCATGAGATCTGATACTGATACATACATGTGATCGCTTGTATTACCGGATAATAAAGTAGGTGAATATAGTTGTCATTCTTGATTCTTGAAAATTTAAATGTGGGTTTCAAACGTCCAATTTGCAATTTTTTTTCAAACCGTGCGACAACAAGGAAAACTTGTACTATGACGTCAGATTCAATGTTCTGAAGAACGACAACTCTTTTCTTCAAAACGAACGAGAAAAAAACATGAAAATTAATCATAACTTTTTTGAAAGGTCGGTGACATATACATTTTTTTGCTTTATTTTGAAGAGTACACATGGCACTTTCTTTCTTGAAATTTTTATGAAAAAATCACTGGTAGATATTTTTTAATACTTGAAACGTTTTTCATTCTTGCGTTTTATTTTTGGTGCGAATGAAATAAATCATATTTTTTAAGATCAAAACAATAAGAGTCTTAAAGTCTTGAACCTGTATTTGATAGACACAAATCTACTGTTTAACATGAAACAAGAATTATGCTTGTAGGTTTGATATAATGGTATTTTTTGAGAGTTTAAATAACAAGCAAATATCATGTTAATATTCGGGAAAACACGAAACTGAGGTTGCTATAGTGACAAAACTAAGTCGGTGACCCCCAATTTTTTTTATCATATTTTGTTCCTCAAAACATGAAATTCCTTCACATAAAATTTTAAGGAAAAATCACTGGTAGAACTGAATAGGCTGTTTGGTCTTTAAAAGATATTATTTCAATTCGGTAATCTTTTTTCGAGTAAGTTTTTTGTAGGATCGAAAACTACATCAGATTAAGTTTAAATTGAAAGTCTAAATAAACAACATCATTGCAAGATAAGCTCGTGCTTTTACACCGTCCAATCCTCACTAAAATTCACACTATCATAATTTTATATTAGGTACATAGGTTTTCAAAAGAATATTTTTAGGGCACAATTATTTCATAACATGTGATCAAATTATAGATATAATTTTGTATATAATCGCTCATGTAAACGATGTCTGACTATGCTTACCATAACAAATTAAAAGCATGTTCAGTTCTTAATATTGTCTAAAATTTATATGTTCAAACGATTTTTTTGTTTATTTTTTTTGCACAATCTGTTCCTTGAACTCTATTAATGTTACAAAGTTATTTCGTGCATACGACATGTAGTATCTATTGTTCTAGTAATATCATTGATCTTCCTAAAAAAAACCTAGTTCCTTCTATTACAAATCTTGATGTCCGAATTTCTGCTAGTAGATACTGTTGTCATGGTTATACTGGATTTTTATGTTTTCTTAAGGTATTCTTTATTCTTCTGAATATCAATTTATATTAGCACGAGGGTCATTGCCACTGGTATTGGAGTTTTTATTCCCGGAGGGTATCACCAGCCCAGAAGTCAGCACTTTTGTGTTGACATGAATTATCATTGATATGGTCATGATTATAAATTAACTGTTTACAACACTTTACATGATATACTAAGGCTTTTCTACATCAGGAATAGATTACCTAAGCTGTATTTGGCAAAACGTTCAGGAAGTGCTAATCTCAATGCTCTTCAACTTCGTACTTTTTTGGGCCTTTTTAACTTTTTTGTATTCAAGCGTCACTGATGAGTCTTTTGTAGTCAAAACGCGCTTCTGGCGCAAATACAAAATTTCAATCCTGGTATCTATGATGAGTTTATTTATGCACATTGTACATAGAAGCAAGAAACAAAACACAAGGTAAAGTTTCATCGGTTTATAAAAATGTTTTACAAAGATCTTACATTTTTCAGAAAAAGAATAACCACAGAATAAAACACTTGATCTGATAACAAATGCAAAATGATTACAAAGTCCATTTTACGACATACTTCATTTATTTGCAAGTGGAATGTACTCATTGAACATATATCAAATATCACAGAAACAACATCTAATATAGTCAATCATATATTAATGCATTACTGTTCTTAACAATTAACAACTAGATAAATTCCCTAACCGACGACTTTAGTGGTACATTTTCCTGCACAATTGTATTCAGACAGTCTTTATGCAATATAAGAATCTAGTAAGAAAGGAGAAATTGTAAGCAACAATTATGAAGAATCAGACGGCTGCAAAGATTATATTAGGCTCAATAGTTATCGAAGGTATCAGGCTTATTCATTTTTAAGCATTCCTTTATGTATTGAAGACTTATAGTCGATTCGAGAAAAAGAACAATGCGGGTTTCAGTTCACCTGGATTTACCATATTACGTCTATCTTTAGCAATCTTTTAAACCACTTCTGCCTCGGAACATTATTTCGACTACAATGACTATCCAACTCGACAATCTCAGGATGCCTTCGTTGACAGTTTCTGTGAAAAGAAAATATGATAAATAATACATGATCACTTTTAAGATGACTTACAATTGGTGTATGTAGCCTAAAGGGTGTCACGATAAAATCTGATATAACATTGGGGATTTTCTATCTGATTTTGTAAAACATTTACCATGATTGCCTTAAAACTACTTTCATATATATGCATTTGATGATATGCTTGTCTATCATGTATATGTGTGCATTTTTTTCTAATGCTACAAGAATGTTATTATTACAGCAGAACATATCCATACCTTATGTTTGTACATTTATAGTTTTAACAATATTCGTTAATAACTACGTATCTGGGATTTGACAAATTCCGCAATTCATTTTAGTTTAAGCATTACTTAAAACAAACGAAAAATATCACCTCATAAGCATAACTGCCTAAAACAATCTTATAGCCAAACCTGTAAACTCAGTGATAAAACACTGTTTGAGAAAATTATTTGTAAATGAACAATCCGAATATGTTATCATTAAGTCTGAAATAACCTCTTCTTAAAGCCCTTTCTCTTTTGCCCTGTCAGATTCTCTCTTTTTATAAAGGTTTTTAAGATAATAGACAAAACATGCATTTTTCCATTTAAATCTATTTTTAGCCATGTCGGTCATCTTGGTTGGGAGGCAGATTCAATTGCTTAACAAGATAACCCTATAATGATTGTGACCAAGTTTTTTAAAATGGGGTAGAATAGTTTCAGAGGAGAAGATGTTTGAAAAAGTTAACGGATGACGGATGACGAACACAAAGTGATGAAAAAAGCTCACTTGACCCTATGGGCTAAGTGAGCTAAAAATAGGAAGATATTCCATTATTTTAAATTTAACAACAAACTTGCTCTTCTTTGTGCTATCGACAATAAACAAAATCCAGATTGCGCAGTAATGTATGAAATATTCCGGACATGTAAACAACATTGTTCAATTTAAAACTACTCTATTCAAAAACCGGTAGTCCGAGTTGTGCTAAAACAATAAACAGCAATAGATATAAAGTGCACTTACCAGCAGCAAACTCTATTACAACTATATAACATTAGCAAATAGGACTGTTTCAAATCGTAACAGAGAGCGACTTTCACTTATGTTATGTATAATCATTTTCCATATATAATTTTTATAATTTTACCAAAGAAATGACCATGACAGATTTTCCCTAAAAAAAATCTAAGATATAATTTGATCCGTTCTAGCGAAGAACCATTTCTATGATGAATATATATACAGTTCTGGATGGAACTTAGAACTGATTGCACTTTTCAATTTAAACAGAATATATCAAAAATTAAGACAATATTTACTGCAGAAAACCTTATATAGATTTAGAAAAAATAATGAATACATTATCCAAGGTAATTGGTAAAGTTATATCTAGTGTGCTTAATAAATACCCCTTTTTCGACATCTGACATTTTCATATCTTGTTGTCCACCTTAGGAACTGCGGAGGTAACGTTATCATCTGGAAAAAAATAATACGAAAAAAAAAAACTTTTCTTATCATACTACGTTTAGAAGCTTACCATTTAAAACATTGTTGTATAATTTCTGATTGAAAATGATTGTTTTTCAATTAAAATATTATGTTTTAAACTGAAGAAACAATGATTTGGATATAAGAAACCGATGTCAAATTATATGATATAGGACCATTCAACAATTTCTTTTGAGTTTTTGAAATATTTGTTATGTTCATATTTTAGAAGAGGGACGAAAGATACCAGAGGGACATTCAAACTCATCGATCGAAAATAAACTGTCTTAAAAAGAAAACGACAAACAGACAAATAATAGTACACACGACACAACATATCAAACTAAAGACTAAGCAACACGAACCCCACCACAAACTGGGTGTGATCCGTAGGTGCTCCGGAAATGTAAGCAGATCCTGTTCCACATGTTCTTATTTTACTGTTGTTCACTTAAATGAAATACAGTTCTGTCATAAAAAAAAGTTAATTTATCGCTCAGAAAAAAACTTTAATCACAAAGTAGAGTAGACTAGCCCTTGGTCTACAATAAAGAAAACCAACGATTTATTGAGATATCCTTGCCAAGGGCTTCAATAGCTGAGTAGTGTTAGTAATGCATCCTTAAAGATCAATAACCTGACCAAAGGGCAAAGAAAAAAAAACCGAAGGCCACCAATGGGTCTTCAACACAGCGAGAAAATCCCGCACCCGGAGGCTGAATTAAGCTGTCCCCAAAGCAAAAAAAACAAAAAAACTGTACTTGTTCAGTGAAAATGGACGTCATACAAAACTGCAAAACATATGAATGAACTAAAATTGAAAAGCATACACGACTAACAAAAGCCAGAGGCTCCTGGTGTTGGACATGCGCATGTTTTATGCCATCTTAACACTCCCTTATACCTCTAGCCAATGAAAATTAAACATACACTAAGCAATACGCACAGTAAACGCAGATATCAGAATATAGTAATAAAAGAATCTACGCAAAATGACAATTATACATAGATTAACAAAGGACTACCAGCAGTTACTGACATGCCATCTCCAGACCTAAATTTTACTGATTTTTTCTTCACCATATGAAAATAAAGCACAATCCCTTCCGTAAGGGGTTCAGTATTATACCATAATATACAATATGAGTGAAATATAACCCGTATCAATGCGTGTTCAATTGATCAATGTAACCTGACTCTCAAATTCAGTAAAAATAAGTTCATATTTGATTCCGCTGAGAATACGGTTAGTACCAAAAGCCGAAAGATACTGTGAAACATGAATCGATTAAATGCTCATAATCTTTACAGTGGTAACTCGAACTTTGTGTTGCGGTTTTGTCTGTAAACAAGAACGTACTAGGTTCTTGAAACATCTATAAAATACTACCATTGCTATGTTTAACTTAATTATAACTTGATAATCATACATACCACGAAAAGAATTCCATATTAATGAAATACAGACTCCAAAAAAACCTCCCACGAATGAAAAGAGGATGTAATATCCCCAATCTGAAAGAAAAAAAATCCAGTCACCTTTCTTTTGGAAAAACTGATGTTTGTCAGCACGAATAATCTACTACTCTAAGTTTTTGAAGAACGAAATGTACAATAAAAGCGATAAGCAAACGGTTGTATTTAAATAGGAATGATTAAGTTTACCATGCAGGTCCACTTATACAGTGGAAGTTAATTTCGTTTTGAAAAAGGTAAACATTCTTCTTTTTTATGTTTAAATAAAAACTTCAATATTTTAAACAAAAGCTAAATTTCAAACCTTTGTGTCCCTCTATCTTTGCAAGTGGGTTTCGTGTTGGAAAAGACTGTGATAAGATGCATAACAAAGCATGGGTTTAGTGTATTATACATAACATGAATGAGTTGAATTTTCAAATATGTTGGCCTCGAGCATCACTGAAGAGAAATTTACTGTCAAATGTGCATCTGGTGCTGTAAAATTAGTACCGTTTATTTCATTATTTCATTCCTACTACTGGGTGGATACCTTTGTTAGTGGACTGTTAGTCCAAAAAGTATCACTAGCCAAGTAGCCATTGGTTTGGTTCTGGCATGCAAGTACGGATATTGTTCTGAATGAAATTATCTGTTCAGAAATTAGAAATCATTCTAAATTAGGGAATGTATCTCCTTCATGCAAAACTCTGATTTCTTGCCCGTTTTTTTGTGCTAAAATTAAAACCCTTTTGATTTATCAGCTCTTCAACGTTAGTAATAAGTTGGAATTTCAAATATTTTATAATTGTAGATATGCGCATCTAGTGCAGTTAAATTAGAAAGTTGATTTACAAAATATTTGTCATTTATGTATATGCCACCAATTTGTAACAGTCTTTTGATATTTGAATAGAGCAGCGAACATCCTTCTTGGTAGAAATTGTCATAACAAATACTTATGTTTATAATATATCAGTGTTCATTTTTGCATTGATATATAGCAATTCAAAATTGACAATTACGTATGTTCTATCCACAAAGGATGACCTAAAAACAAGGTACGAGTTAGGGCAGTATCAATATATATTTCAAACTATTTCGTATTTTTATAATCATTTGTTGAATGGTATGTACTGTAATAAAACAATGATGCTTTAGTGTATATATACTGTAAATTTAAAATTATTGCTGGGTTTTCATAGAAGCGACAAAAATGACAGGAAAGGGGGATGTAACGTAATAATAATACCATTCTAAGATCTGATGTATACACGTATAAATGTATGCAGATTTCTTGAAATTGCAATAACCAATCACACATGTTGTGTCTATTCCTCAAAATTAGCAATAATAAATGCATGCAATACATGTAAGTACCTAATTTGGATTTTTATACTACTATCGTAGCAAAGTTTAGCTATTGTTGATTGCAACAAAATGGCTTGACATGGATCATAATTGACAGACGATATCACAGAAGCCATCATAAGTTTAATTGAAAGTGGTCGACGAGCTAGCTTTATTTTTTCAAATCCACAATTACAAAGCGTCGGCAAAAGCGCGGTTTAGAAAATCTTCCTCAAAGCAGAAGAAAATAAACTGTTATCAAACGAGCAGACACTTGTCAAGGATTGATTAAACGTCTCGTCGTTGTAAATACAATTTATCACTCGTACAACTGCTCAAGCGTCCAGACGAGTTGTACAACGAAAATGTCATGCATCAGGATACACCAGACGATCTGTACGATACAAAATTGACATTATGGGTGTAAATCAAAAAAATTTGCTTTGTGCAGGAGTAAACTTTATTGGTCAGTAAGAAATGAGTGGAAAAAAAATATATTAATCGATGAAACCTGACGGTACAATTATGAACAAAGTCAAATGTAATTTTGAGACTGGGATTTTAAGGTTGTGTTTCATAGCGATCATCCACAAATCTTAAAATAATGATAGGGGATGTCTTAAATACTATGAAGTTAGTACATTACCTGTGAGAAATGGTATTTAAACTTTGACACGCATACAGAATAATAAGTGGTTTTAATACATTTTGGCAATGAACCTTGTCTATTCCTAGATTGTGATGCATCCTGTCATCGATCAAGGGTTTTTGAAGAAAGGAAAAGACAAAATTAAAAATCCCAACCATACTGGCCTGCTTTATCCACAGAGTTAAGCGCAATCGAGACTAGCTTGCTTCTAATAAAGAAATTAATTAAAATAGACTTTATCTAATTCGTAACGTTGAAGACCTTTAGTCTGACTTATTCTGTGTCTGGTTATTTTATATTCAAAGAATATATTTAAGCATCCTTCGTCGCTGCAGAACAGTTCTAGTTCAGGTTTGTTTTTACTTGGCGTCAGTTTAGTAAGTTAACTTTTGTATGGCACCAAATGCTCATATCTACGAATATTGTCTTGTGTACCTTAATGGATGTACGTGCTTAGCCATAGCATAGAGCCTAACATAGCTCATAATGATATTTAAACAGTTATGGACTTGTTTATCTATTCACTGTAAAAAGATGTAGACAATGTGTTGATTCAACGAACATACGTCTTCCTTTTTTTAAATCTGGCACATATATTGTTTATGATGTTTTTGTGATGACTTTACAGTCAAATTAAACCATTGTTGTATTGGTAACTATCAACATGATTAAACATTAATTTGATTTTAATAACACCAGGCAATGTTTTGTTTTTATGAATTTATGAGGTCAAATAAGTGCAAAACTATAACTTGTTTGACGAAATTAAAACAATAAAAAAAAAAAAATATTACACTTTTGGGTTTCAATGCTTTTCAAGTTTTTGTTCGGTTAAACTATCAAATTGTCGTGGTTTTAGGATCATCGTTGATTGTGTAGACTATAGCTACACGTGCTTTTTGCCTATCAAAACACCTTGTTTCTTTGATGATATTTTTAATTCCTTTGTGGACACACTTTCTTCATTTTCAAGTTTCAATGACTTGGTTAGAGATAATCCTAGAAATAGTCAAAGTCAGGTATAGAATATAAAAACACAAAAGAACTGCAATTTGCTTATTCTGTAATTTGATACACAATTTCACATTGACTCTCATTTTGAACATGTTCTAAACAATTTGTTTAATGTTTATGTGTTTGATTTGATTTGCAAACAGAAATGTTTCTCATGAAATTGTCATGTACAGTTTAGCCTTTGTTTTAAATACTTATAGTCTGACCCTTAAATTATATAATAAAGTCAAGTGTACATATATTTAAAAAATAAACATACCTTTATCAATGTCTTTTACATAAACATGAATCAACACTAACGCAATCACAAATAAAACAAATAGTGAAGTGCATATCAATAATCCTGATCCTGAAATAAAACAGTCATTTACGTTTGTATTTCGTTTCAGTCATCATCATCTTTCTAATTGTTTCATTTTATTGGTTATTTTTTTTCTAATCGTAAATATATCATGTATATCAAACGAAGGCTTTTGTTATTGGTGAATATATGCAGATATTGCAGGAGTTAGTTATCATTAATGTTTGATGGGTCGTCAGTTGATCATTGATTAATAATAGTATAGTAGCATTCTGCATAAGAGTTACAACTCATTTTACATGGAGCAACACTTCAATACATGTGTCTTTGTCTTAAAATACTAGTTAAACATTTGTTTTATCAACAAAACAAATAATTCGTTGTTACCATGGATTCATTTAGGTCAATCATCCTTGCATAAAAAGTGCATATTAATGTTTAGTTTTTATATTGAGAATATACGTTATGTTGTAATTTAAATGATTTGCAATTTTCGTACTATAGAATAATGTGTTCTTGACAGCGGATGCGTATACATAAAAGGCCCCAGAATGTATGTTATGCATCATCACCAAATACAAAATATATCAAACACAAGTGCTTCCACTTTAATTGTAGACACAAATCGTTTCAAATTAGCAGAAATGATAAAATTATGAAGATTTCAGTACTTGAAGATGCATTTCTGATGCTGATATCTGATTCCTATACAGTGTAATGAATATGAAAAGAGCTCAAATTGATGTAACGAAAGTATTCATATTTCCAATAAAAAGCTAAAAGTTTACATTTTAAACAAATTTATGAAATGCTCTTTTTTCGGTCAAAAAAGGGATTTTACCGGGCTTACACATTTTAATCATTTTTTGGACGTCATGATGATATCACTTAAGATTTGTTTTTGATTTTGTTTTCAAGTATCAATAAAATTAAAACGATAATTATGAAAGGTTTTCATTTTTTTTAAGTTCCCGGGCTCACAATTATTACTCCACCAACGGAACAACTTGAAAACAACTTCCATATTTCCGACTGTGTCTGTTTGTTTTGTTCACGCATCGATGTCAATATAATGGAATATGATGCAACTGTCATACAAGCTAGCTATAAAACCAGGTTAAATCGACCATTTTCTACATAAGTAAATGCCTGTACCAAGTCAGGAATATGACAGTTGTTACCCATTTGTTTGATGTGTTTGAGCTTTTGATTTGGCCATTTGATTAGGGACTTTCCGTTTTGAATTTTCCTCGGAGTTCACTATTTTTGTGATTTAACTTTTTTCATATAATGATGAAAATGATGAGTTACAGGACAACAACAGTTTTACAAAGCTTTTAAGTACAACGTGTCTCAAAATTGTAATTGATATTGCATTACAAGAAGTTGGTTTTGATTTTTAAATGAACGCTTGATAACTTTCGTGAGTTCGAATTAGTTCAAGCGTTTGTTTCGAGATAACCCTTTATACAGAACAATGAAGTCTTAACATTTAAAAGCCAGGGTGTTTATATGCTCAACGTTTCCTGAGGTAGTGAACAAATACGATTCGTAATAGTTTTATAATTTATGAATGATTAATTTTTTTTAAGTATTACCGAGCACCTACTACTGACCTGACGATTCCAGAGGCTTTTTGTTAAATACCACAAAAAAGGAAATTTAGTATAATTTAAAAAGATAATACTCAATGTTTAAACACATGTTTATATTTCCAAGCAGTGGCTCGATGGGCAAGTCTCCGATTGAGCTATCAGGTCAAGCATCAGAACAATCATGATCCATCATTTACGATACATTTTTTTTTATTTCCTTTTAAACAATGTTTAACTTGCTTATTATATGTGTTATCATTAAATGTTAACACATGACATGGGTAAAATATATCTGTTCCTACTGTGCTTTAATTTGGATAATGCACAGCAAAGGTGTGCATTAACTGCCTCAGATATACTGCACAGTTCAAAAGTAATCTCACCTTTAGGAAGCGGACCCTGGATTTTGAGAGGGGTGTTTTTCCATAAAAATGTTGACGATTTTATGCTAAAACATAATATGTTTTCCATTCAAAGGGTGGGACATAAAATATTCTATAACATTTTGTGTACATTGTAAATCTAAAATCGGTGTTTCACAGTCAAACCAGATAATAATTAACAAACTAAGGACATCTTGAAGGCAACATATAGTATATTTTTCAACAATAGATATGTGTCTACACAATATGTCAATTTCTAATTCGTCACTGATTTATATAAAAATTGTAAATAAAATTAATAACAACGACTAAAAAAATGTATCATTAAATCGCAATTCTCCAAATAATGTAACATTTTTTTTACAATTTAGGAAGTAGCCGAAATAAGAAAAAAGTTAATGATTTAATACTTACCAAGTTAAACTAAATAAAAGCGTAATTTTCCCCTTTCTTTATCCTGCAAGAAACTTTCCTAGGATCCGTAGATTGCGGAATATCGTCCGCATATTTCCAAAACGTTCACATAAATTGATGGCGTCATGTGTTAAAAAAGTTAAAGGCCAATCAAATCGGTACATCATTTAATCTGCACGGTCATGATGACCCTTTAACCCAAACTCCTACGTCGTTCGGATAAATTTGGGTCAACCGAGCCGTGCAGATTAAATTATATATACCGACTTGCTTGGCCAATAACTATAACATAACATTTGAATTACATTGAACGATAACACGTGTTTATATCCCCGTTTTTTTGTAAATAAAAGTCTAAGCTATTCCATAATACAACTTATAAAAAGTATGTGGAGTGTTTTTCTTCACATACTGTTATTTACATGTAATATAATATCATATCCGACACTTACCGATTGTCGCAGCTATACGGTGACGACACCCTAAAATGTAATTATTTAGAAAATTAAATTATTTTCAGTAGGGACTATGGGATTTTTTTTACAATAAAAAAAAACCCATCAACATCATATTCTAATTAAATTATATCTTGTGTAAATAGAAGTTATTGCTTGCTGAAGCTCGCATAAGACCTTAGTTTTGTCGAAAAATTCAAAGTTTTGTAAACAGGAAATTTATAAAAATTTGAAAATGAAAGAATACTAGATAGGGACATTTTATAGAAAAATAGAAAAGGCCACGAAAACATACAGCGCCTGGCTTCGACAAACTAACATTATCATGTTAAATACTACCAAACAGTTTAACCCTCGACGATTAATTAAATCAACCCAAATGATAATATATTAAAAGCTATAAACTTAGTAAAATTGATTTTTTTTATGAAAGCATAACAGTTTTATAATCTGTCTGACCCCAGGCCCCATACTATCATTATCTTGCATATACATAATAATTGGCTTCTTAATTTTTCGTGGTTATCTGAAATTATCTGTTACTCTTAAATCATGTTGAAGTCAATTTATTGTTCCGCGCGCAATATTACACCTGTATCGCTTCTCAACGTAGAAAAGTTAATGTCAAGATGAGTCGTTGTTTTGATAAGTTTTAATGTTGTGTTAAATAGATTGAATATCTAGATTTGACAATCCATTGCAGGTATAGAACCACTTATGCAGGCCCGGTCGGAAAGAACATACAAGAAAGTAGTACATATTTTAAATAAAATAGTTCCTACTCAAAGCTGAATCTTTGTCAATAGGGGGAATATATGGGTAGTTTTGGTATCAAATGAAAGCTTGGGGACTTGGGACCACTGTAGAAACCGTGTTCAAAGGTTTGTTTGAATAATAAAGAAGAATATGAAATTTTAAAAGGAGGGCACATTTGGCCTGTTTTTCAGATCAGAAGTTCCTGTTTTTGTACTATCAAACTTCCGGGAATCAGTACGCTCTAATATGCAATTAAAGGTATGTTGATTTTTTCAGCACAAGTCAGCATAAGGTATAGTTTTGTCATGAAATACCTGCCACTTTATTTGAACTTATAAAGACAAAGTAGCCATTAATGCTTGAAATTGCAGAATTTAACATAGAAAGCAATGGGACTATGAATTAGTGGTTTTATACCTGCAGCAAAAATTAAAATAACAAAATATTTCATTCAAAACATTTTCGTCGCACTTTGAACTGCTCACAGTATTAATATCTCATGGCATTCCATGTTCACAAAAACACCGAGGTAAAGACCATGTTTTTAAAATCAAAAACATTACACTTGTATCGACCAATTATCTCGCATTAGAACAGTCATAAACCATTGTTTTCTTATATTATAGCATATATAAATGTAAAAATAAATGTCAATCTTCAACAATGATTACGCTTTAATTGTTTTTTTAAGATATTTGTCTATGTTAAAGCCCTCCTACTTTTATTCTTGCCAGCTAATTATTTTCTAAGTTCTGTAACACAACAATTAACGTTTATTACATATGTAGTCTTTTCTATTATCTCAGAAATTTTGAATATCAAAATGAATGAACAGATGCAGAAAATAAAATGCGAAAATAACCCCTAATAAAACTTAAAATATAACATGACGGTTACATGAAGAACTCTCTAGAGTAAATAGGTAAATAAAATGACAAATCTTCACTAGGGCCGGACAAATTTAGTTGTGAGAGTACATAAATTTCATTTATTCCAATATTTCTAAGTATATATTTAGCCACAGTAGATTATCATACTTCCTCTGTTATTTGGTCTCTTATGGAGAGGTGTCTCATTGGAAATCATTCCACATCTACGGGTTTATACCTTTAAAATTTCACATAAAGATAATTGTTCATCTAAAACACATAGGATAACAGTTACTCATAATTGATTTTTTTTGGAAGAAAAAAAAAATTCAATAGACATTGGAATCACCAGGCTGAAAGTAATTTACTCAAAGTATGATGGCTCGTAATACATAGTTTACCTGTATTGTTACATTACAGTACAAAGAACTCTATTCGGGAATATATGCTAAAATTTTGAAAGGGGGCGAAAGAGATAAACTTGGGATAAAGAGCTCTTGCTTTTGTACTCAAGCGTTCATGCAAGTTTCTAAATGAATGGCAATTTCCAAGAAATACACAATACATGTAAATGTACCTTTCAACAATTTCGTATTATACATGCAATTCGAATAGTTCATGTGAAAATACACTGAAACTGTCATATGTATTCTTATAATATCATGATATGTATTATAAAAATGTTTCGTTCTTTCATCAAGTTTTCTACACTATACAAAGAGAAATTTATAATGAATTGTTGCACTTACCTTGTGTCGTATCCTCCGAACGATGATTGTTATGATTATTTCCATTTGTGTTATTGTTGGTATTGTTCCGAATTCCTAAATTATAAAAAAATGTGGTTTCGAATAGCCGTACATTTTGTTGCCATGTGGACAGGATATGTTTACATGACATGATTTTTATTTGTATTAAATAATTTGATCTGCAGTGGCGTAGCTTGCATGTATGCTCAGATGCTCAAGCATCCACATCATTTTGACAAAAAAAAATAAAATAAACAAAAAAAATATATAATTGCATATAATCGCATATGTTCGCAGCAGATACACACGTAGGTCTCCGAATGTTACAGGGGTAAGGATATGAGAACAACGCCAAATCACTTCCGAAGCATGTGTTCTTCATTTAGTTTATGTAACCAAGATGGAAAAGCAGAAAAGTGTTCTCGACCTTTTTCATAAAAAAGTATACGTCATCGGCTACTGCAAGCGCAGAGGATGATGATATGCAGACCCGCGGACAAGTTTCGTCTGAAATTGAGCCAAGCGGAGCAATGGCTTCAACATCTGACGAAACAACATTGTTACCACCTAATAAACCACCATATCCTGATGTCGCTTCCTGTGACATGAAAGACGAAATGATCAAAACTCAATATGTCACAGAGTGCGATAATTCCTGGGCTTATAACTACCTGTTTCCATATAGGTACAAATATTAATTTTATTTTCACATGTTTTGGCAATATCACCACTATAAAGGCTAAGTGATCATAAATCAAAAACTCTATGGGGAGGCTCAAATTCCGGCAAAAGGGGGTCACTGGTTCTTATATTCCAAAGTTCCTTAAACAGTAGTGCCACTGTAATAGGTACGTTTCTGAGCTGTCAAATATAAAAAAAGGGGGGGGGGGGGGGTCGACAATAAAATTATATTGGAAATATATGAATTGTTGGTTATATTGAAATTCAAATCTATACAGCCTCAGGTATGCCAAATATATATAAGTGACCCCATGCTTACTTAGGGGTCAGGGCTTAGGGGGAATGTGAGTATCATGTATTGAGCTTTGCTTTAAATTTCCAGTCTTGTTTATGTTTGTATTTAAACAAATGGAATATATAATGGCACAATCCATGATTTAAAGTTTTGGTTAAATTGTAGGGTTATCTATGGTCGGGAGTGAAACTGAATGCATTTTGGTTTAAAGAGAATCCATGGCTAAGACATTCGATGTTTACTGACGTACTCTATTTCGGAAGTTGTACTGTCTTCGCAGATAAAGGTGCCAAAGACAAACTGTTCATTAATCTGGTTACTGATGGGTTAATCTTTTTGATATGTTACTCGTCACGAAAAAGATGGACTGTAATTACAAATATTTTACATCTGTTAAGGGAAGAAAGCAGAACTTTTTGTTGTAAATAATCTGAATTGTTAATTTTGTAAATAAATTATCATTGGAACCATATTCAATATTTTCAAGGTACTTATTTATGGAATTGAAACAAAAATCCAACTAATGTCGGATCTGGGGGTAGTACACATGCATTCAGGGAAAATGTGGGAAAAATATAATTTTCTGCATAAAATGGTCCAAAAAATAATTTGGGATTCGCTTCGCTCGGCGACAGTTTGGCATCCACATCCATTCAGCCCTGGCTACCCATTGATCTGAATCAGATATTACACTGCTATATTCCTAATATGAACAGGAATCTTAACATACATTAATTCTCTATGCTTGAACACGAATTGGTTGAGAAAAAGGCGATTGGGCAGATGTAAATAAGAGTGACCACACATATTTTTCATATCAATGGTAATACTTGATAACAATAACGAACAGATAACCAATTCATTGAATTTGGTAATTTAAACACACAAATCAGTTATTGCGGTAAATACAATAATGATGATGTAAACAATGTGCAAGTGATTTTATTTTCATTACCTCCGTTACCTTTCTTTGTTCTTCGTATATTATTACAGCGCCATATGCAACTCGTTAATAACTGAAGAACAGTGAAGGAAGCAACTGCTACATATCCAGCTTTAAAACCGTCTTCTGTTGAAGAAAATTTCAAGATATCAATTAATTTGAAAATTAAGAAATATTTATCATGTTCACTCTTAATCATTTACTAGGTAACAACATTTCCAACTCAAAAGGATGTATTTTACCTGTCATTACACTGCAGTTCATTTGTAATATTTATTTCTGTTCTTTGTTTCTTAGTCGTGTTTGTTTTTCTTTTCCCCATGAAATGTAAAGTAGTTCTTTGGATTTAAAAAAAATGAGTATCCCTTTGGTATCTTTCGTTTCTGTTTTAAATCAAGAGACACATCTCCCTCAATGCTATGATTCCTTGTATGCATTTTGTAATATATAAAGTCTATGTTGGTTTAATGAGATTGTTAATGCCAGTGAACTGTAAGGAATATGAGACTTGCTTTTCGCTCATTACGGTGGTTGATAATTACGTTTGATTTTTAAACTAGATATCATAATGACGAGTGTGGCCTAGTTTGGTTAAATTTGACTCAGTAGTTTCAGAAATAAAGATTTTTCAAAGAGATAACAAAAATTTACGAAAAATTGTTAAACATTGATTTTAGAGGGCAATATAAACTCCTTAAAGGGTCAATTATCAACTTTTGTCGTGGTGATTTATTTGTAGATATTGCTTTGCTTCACAGCATTGCTGCTTACAGTTTATCTCTATATATAATAATATTCAAGACAGTAACCAAAACTGCTAAATTTCGACAAATTACTAATTCAGATGCAGCAACCCAACAACGGGTTGTCTGATTCGTCTGAAAATTTCTTAACCTGATAAACAATTTTACCTCTAGTCAGAATTGCTCGAAATGCTTTAGTTTCGGACTTTTGATAAATAGATCTCGCGCATTATTCATTTGTTATTGATGACACATCGGTGCATATATTCCATGAAAAAATGGTACCGTTTATGTTGATGTATAAAAGAATTTTACATTTGTATATAAAACATGCCGTTTGGAATATTGTTTGCCTAACCAATCTATATTTGAAATGATATGGAATACAGGATGGAAGCAAGGAATGTGTCAAAGAGACAACAACCTAATCAAAAAGTAAAAAACCTCAATACTACCAATTGATCTTCAGCGCAGTGTACAAATCCCACAAAAGGCGGCCTACAGCTGGCTGTCTAAAAGTAATGTATACGCAATCAGCAAAATCTAACCCACACTACAATCCGAAACATATAAATGAACCAAAATTCAAGCACACAGGACTGACAAAGGCAAGAGGTTCCTGACTTAGGACAGTAGCAAAAATGTGACGGGATTGAACATGTTTTGTGAAATCATCAAACATCCCCATATATTTCTAGCCAATTCGGAATAAATCAAACACACCAATACGCACAGTAAAATTCAGTTTAAAAACGTCCAAGTCTGATGCTAAAATAGTTACAGAAACTAAAGGTTCCAAGGAGCATGTGTCGTTCAACGGATTTACATTTGAAGCTTGTAATAATGCCACCATCTTACTTTTGCTTGTCGAGAAAAAATCAGTACAGTCGAGTACAGATATAGGCTATTTCAGACTTTTACTGGTTTGAAGTGATTCTTGAACTACTAATAATATTCTTTTTTACTCACAAGTTCACTTGGTACAGTAAATAAAATGGTAATAAATTGTATAATAAGGCATTGAAAAACAATGATATTAATTGCTTTTGTGTATCAAAATGCAATGGAAGTACTTAAAAAATAGCATGGTCATACTGCATTTATTTGTGATTTCGATATCTTTTTTTTTTAAATTCTCTACCATATATACAACTTTGCCTCAAAATCTCAATAATAATAAAATCATATTCCAAATAAAATTGACATTTTAAAGTCATAATGCAAATATATCTGTTCTAACTCTTATGGGTTTTATTTAGTATCAACACACGAAAAAACTATGTCAATTGGACCTACTTCGAAACGATAACCATGATAACTGCAGTTGAATCTTACTAGATAATATTTGTGTTTGCTATGGTCATTCCTTATATCGTCAATTTATCGGATATTCAATTGTGCCAAAGTATTGCGGACTTGTATTTCTATTGTAACGAGTTATAATTTTAGCTTAACACCAGCAAGGATCCTTTAAAACAAGATCTAATACAAAAGAGTGTTTACATTTTAATATATTTGGAGGATATACAGGCTTTCATTAAAGAAGACTTAGTGATGTCATAGATTTTAACGAACGTAATCAATGCATCACTGGTAAATTATTAAATCAAGGATTTCGTTACCATAAATTACATAAAACTTTTGCTAAGTTCTTTCATAGATACAAAGATTTGATTAGTAAATTTGGCTGTAGTTGTAGAAAACTGATTAAAACGGTATTTCACATCTTAAATTTTACGGTAATATTGTACTTAAAGCGCGGAAATCACTATTTGATCCGTGTAAACTCATCGAACCTTTAAACAAACTTATTAGTAAAGGTTATCTTACCAATGTTGTAGTTAGATCTTTGAATATAGTTTACATTGGCACTAATATCGATTTTGTCATCAGCAAATTAAAACATAACTAAATTTGTATTTTTTTCAAGCGGGATGTATAAAGACGCACCCACGTTCGTTTAGATCTATAAAGAGGTTAAACTCCTAACTATCCTACTGTCTGTCGATACATTTATTTTTGGCATTGCACTAGTCATGTCTTCTTCGACTGTCCATGACGTTAAAATACTAAATCCCTGGGATGTGTTTTAGTTGATTTTAGTCTCTGATGCATGATTTTTTATTATTAATTGTTTTGGCTTTTAACTATCTGTCAGTAACTGCGAGTACTCTCAAATTGTACGTTCTTGTTTATTTGACCTGTTGATACTAATTGTATTGCTTTTTTGTTATTTAATGTTATTCAGGTTTATATCTGGTCTATATACCAGCTTTGATAAGTGTTTGGTAAAACTATAAATTTTCACTTCGTACTATGAACATCAAAATTATTTATTTTGTAAAAATATTTCCTTTCTCTATTGGTACTGTACACGTATACCTAACAACAAAATTATTTTCATTTACCTCTGTTTAAAGTTATTGCAAATGGCTGATATTTTTGTTCGAGCATATTGTTTTTCTTTAATTGTTTAACATTTCTTACCGATATAACATGTTACTTTTATTATTCTTCCCTTATTTATTTTGTATTTACATTGTGTCATAGGTCAAATTTATTCGTTCAGTGTATGTTCAATGGTGTTAATATGTCCTTTGATTTAGTTAAGCTATTTCAGTTGATATTTTATAGTGTGTCTTTCTATGTTGTGATGTTACACTTTTGTTTCAGAAAAAGGGTGAAGGTTTGGTACCATTAAAACGTTTAACCCCGCTGCATTTGTTTGCACCTGTCCTAAGTCAGGAATCTGATGTTCAGTAGTTGTCGTTTGTTGATGTGGTTCATAAGTGTTTCTCGTTTCTCGTTTTTTATATAGATTAGACCGTTGGTTTTCCCGTTTGAATGGTTTTACACTAGTAATTTTTTTGGGGCCCTTTATAGCTTACTGTTCGGTGTGAGCCAAGGCTCCGTGTTGAAGACCGTACTGTGACCTATAATTGTTTATTTTTATAAATTTTGACTTGGATGGAGAGTTGTCTCATTGGCACTCATACCACATCTTCTTATATCTATTTAGTATGTAAACTAAAGAAAACTATCATGCTGAACTGGCTTTAAATTAAGTTATCACTAATAATGAACACTGCCCTTTCCTGGATCTTGATATGTATATATTTAACGGGAATATAATATAAATATCAGTATATTTAACCAGAAGCTTGTTGCAAAAAAAAAAAAATACGATAAAAGATATGATTTTTCATTTTCTATTGTTTATTATACATTTTAAGAAGGTACCATTTTCTTGCGATTTCAAATGTTTTGGCAATTCAACCATTTCCAGGATCATTTGTATAACACATCTTTTGGGAATTTTCGGTCCTCAATGCTCTTCAACTTTGTACTTGTTTGGCTTTATCACTATTTGATCTGAGCGTCACTGATGATTGGATTAGTTTTGATTACCATTGATCAACTCACTGGATTGTGTCAAATGTCCGAACAGGTGGTAATTAAATTAGCAAATTTAGGTATGTGGAATGCCCTCAACGGCGATTTTCGATCATCGACGATGACAAATTATTTGATAAGTATTACATAATTATACTCTTACATGTACATAGATACTCGTGTATTGTCGGATTTATCAAATTTCGATAAATGTACTTAAGTTTAACTTAACAATTTCAAAGTCCGCCCTTAAGGCTCGAGCTTTAAAATTCGATACTTTAAATATGTCGATTGCATATATCCGATAATGCACTAATACGATGTAAGAATCTTTAATTAACGAATGAATTGTCCGTCAAAAAATATTACACAGGGGTTTTTGGTATCACGGACGTCGTGGTAATAAATATTATATTCAACGTTCCAAACATGTCGTTATTCTCCTAATATCCGTACAAACCTTTAAACAGAAAGGATATACTTATGCTACTATTGTCCGGTCATTGAGGATTTTAGTTTTCATGATAAATATTGATTTACTTATTGAGGTCTCACAAATCCATTTTAACCTCGTCGGATTTATGTGTCGCAAATCCTGAACGTTGGCCCATTGTCAGTCTTGAATTTCTTTTTCTATTTTGATTCGTTTTTCATGCTTACATGTCTTTGAGTTAAGCGTTGCACCCATTTTTATTATTAGCCAGCTGAAGCATGCCTCCGGGTGCGGAATTTTCCTTTCTGTAAACATTTACAAGAAGAAAATTTGCCTAAATACTAAACAGAGAGACAAAAAAATACCAGACGGATATTCAAAAATCATAAGTCGAAATAAACTGACTATGCACTTATTATGTTACTTACCTTTCATTTTTAATGTCTTTGATTTAGCTAAGGAAAAACAAAATAAAAACGTAAGTAACGATAAACTTATCAGTATATAATAGTATATTAGTATCAGGTTCTGTATTGCGTCATGAAATAAAAAACGTAAAACTAATATTGCAGCTAGCAACCAACGACAATTACCAGATTAAATGCTCTTTGGCCGAAACTGGTTAACAGTACATGAGGTAAGGCATTTTTGCTAACTTTGGATAATCTAGTACCGGCACAAAGTAAACGTAAACAGTGAATTTGCAAATATAAATTGATACGGAATTAACTAATATAGTTGTACTAAGAGTACGCGCAATTAATGGTAGTTAGTTCAAAAGCCAACTGACACATAAACTATGTTTCATAAAACGAAAAATATCAAGTTGGCTTTGCATAATATCAAAGACCATTGTTTTGATTTTTAGTGATAGATAAAAGTCCTTGTTCATGGAAAATAGTCAGTTGTAGATATGTGTCCATCATGTAAAGGTATACTTACAGACAATATGTTCAAGATTAAGAATTTGAAAACAAATATATATACTGTAATGCTTCAAATACAGGCAGATTTAAAGTACTAGTACCTGAACCAAGAAACACATTCATCTACAAAAATCTAATACGAAATATTTTTAGCGTCCTTATCACAGAACAAAATTGTTAGATATGACAAATGCTCTCCGAAACATCTGTTCGAGCTATAACCATCTGTTTTGTCAGCAATTAAACGAAACAAATTTCTGAAAGAGATGCTTTCAAACTATATACAATATACTTTATGGCAGATGCGTATTTAATCATATGACAACGACGGTTATTCTTAAGTTTTAAAATTAGACAGATTTGAAAAATTTTCCAAAATTTGTTGTAAAAAATGGACACAGAGATTAATAATACGTTATACAATCTGTGTGAATACAAAATATTTCACTTAAAATGTGGAACCGGTCTCTCTTACTTTTTCTGAACAGTTTTAGGTTTGGGTTTTGTCGCACAGTCACTTGTGTTTGGTTTTTTTTTTTCATCTTTTGACTCAGTTTGAAGTACTTGAATTATTTATATTGCTTATTTTAATTAGTGTTATATTTCTTACGTATTTCAACAGACACCGAAAATCTAGGATCTTTTTTGCCGCGTCCATTTGCACAGGTCCAATTTCTGTTAACATCCGTTTCTTCGACTTTTACTTCAAATACCGTTGTATTTGTACTGTTGTCGTAGTCAATATGACCATAACCAGCTACACTTTCACAAGAAATTGTAAAAACAACATGACAAAATGCTACAGTATCATCCTTTGAATTGTAAATAAAAATTCCATTTCCAGGTTTGTCAACCATGCATTTAAAAATAACCATGCCTTCGCTGAAATCCCATTCAAAATCTATTGACCTATTTGTAGCAGTGATACCTAAAAAAAGAAATAAAAATTTCAATTGGTTTAACATGTTTAATGTTTTATTTATTGTTAACCTTAGTTTAATACACATTTTTTTGGTAAAATTACTGAATAGCAACCACTCTAATTTAGTCATTCACTGTAAAGTATAAACTCATATTAGATATTAGATGACAAACGTATGCAATAAAATGCACCTTTCTGATCAGACAAACATCTATTTTAAAGGGGCACTAGCTACGAGATATGAACAAAATAGAAAATGATTTTGTTTTGTTCAATCATTTATATAAGTGAAATGATGAAATAATAATTCGTTTTTACCAACCAATTTAGTTTATTTGGTCAAAATCAGCAAAGAAACATTGCTGATGAATCATTCACATGCAAGTGAATAATTCGGCCACATTGAATCTGTATTCATGTGACCTTCAATTTAACCCAATAGCTTAGATTACAAGGAGAGGAATGTCAACATTGAAAGTGATACAAAGGTGAACCATTTCGTTGACTGATTCTATCCACAATACGTTAAAATCATTCTTATACAGGTACAACGATAATTAACTTTTTATCTAACCTATAACATAAAATCACTTGAAAAAACCTAATGCACGATGTTGCTATTTATTCATGTTTATGATTATGTTTATATCAGGTTATATGACAATCGGCAGTCTCCGGTGGTCATCTCAATAGTAGATGAGATGGCGTCTAGACTAAAATACACACGAAATTCAGATAAATATTATGAATACATGCTTTATTAACTGTTTATTTCAGACTTATTGTAATTTAAATATACGTTCCAGTACGTTATAAATCAAATATGTAACTTTATGCTATGGTACAAAAATCAGCCAAAAAAATCGATTTGTTTCGGTCCAGATGACTTCTAAAATGTTTATATCATTGAAAAATCTCCAAATTATCTCCCTTTGGTGCAAAAAATGCCATTAGTTTGCATTAAAACTGAAATATCTTTTTTAACTCATCGGTGACATTTTTTTTTAATTATTTTTTTTAAATAAGCTGTACTTAAACTATATAATTGTAAAATGTAAGCGATTTCTGTAATTTAGTTCTTTTTATATTTTGATATGACGTCTGTTTTGACTATTAGTGCAACAGAAAAAAAAGTACCTTACCAAAAATGCATGCTTCTTTCGAAGTCAGATTGTGAGCTTAAATGAACGGTAACCCCATTATTTTATTTTATTTTTCTATTAAGTATATGATCAAGTTCATTTATAGAAAAAAAATAGCGAAATCCTATATTAAAAAAAAAATGATTTATACCCTCGACCCACCTTAAATCAAATCGATGTACATGAATTTGACAGCTAGTGCCACTTTAAAGAATAAGAAGTGTTAGGATTAAATACAGTTTCCATATGATCAATGAGTTTGTTGCATAATCAATTAGGTCTTTCAATATTTCTAAACGATTCCTGAAACAACTTTTTTATTCAAGAAGTTATTCATTTTAAATGAAGTGTAATTCAGAATGAACAATTGTTTCCTAGATGATCAAACATTTTGTAGTATCAATTTTGATGTTAAAAGAATAGTTGGTACATTTTAAGGAAAAAAAAACAACATTAGATTTATAAAACAATGTTTATGAAATAATGAATAACGCATAAGAGTACAATATTACAGTTGAATAAGACCCGTTATTTTGGCCAATTTAATTGCAACCATTCTAATATTTTCAAACCTTTCAAAATGATGGGTAAACGAGGTTGATATAATCTTAACACTTGTGCAGAAAAGTCACTTTTGAGATTGAATAATTTGATCTGATATCTTACATTTTAAAACAGGTTTTGATCAAGACAAACAAACGCCAAGGTCGTATCCAAAACAATGTTATGCCTATTAGCATCTCGATACCATACATTTTCGACCAAAATATTTTTTTGAGTATATATTTAAAAGTTAATGACAAAGTCTAAAGCAAAAAAGCTTATTGTTATGTTGATGTTATTTTGCACTAAAAGCCATAACTTTGCAAATAAATAATTCGATATTCAAAAATGTATGTAATGATGTGTCATTGCTTAACATTTTGTGAACATTAGACATTATGATAAAGGTTAACGCGTTCTACTTATTCTTAATTACAAGGTATGCAAGTTTATGTTCCTTCCAATGTCTTTCTGTTTTTTTGCATTAGGCAATGTGTGTTGCCTCTACTGTAATTGTATTTCTACCTGTTCTCAATGTTCTATTCTTACATCTCGATGTTTAGTATCAATAAATTTATTGAATGTTATAATAACTAACACACTATTATTAAGGATTAATGTTCTTAAAAAACATTTGTAGCTGTGGGCGTCGCAAAATAATACACTGAAAGTTCTGATACTTTATTCATGTCGCAATTGTCAAATAAACATACAGTGCATCGCATACATTCACCCAGTTGTCTAACATTATACAAAGTTCATGGACTAGTATACGTTGTTTCGCAGGTTTACGTAAGAACTGAAAGTAAACAAAAAAGAACCATAAATAATTTTCAATGCAAAACCCTGTTGCACACCAAATATATAAACAAATCGCAGTATAACCTAACAAATATCATTATGACTATGCGAATATATCAATTATGCATATTAAAAGACATTTATTACATTAATAACGTTCAAATTACCTCTTTAGGCCATTAACATGTCAAAATTTGTGTAGCATCGTGATTCGTTTACAGGAATCTGATGTATCGGGGAAAGAAACGCCGATTTACTACTTAGCTTCTAATCGTAATATGTATCTTACTCTTAATCAATGTACGACGGTAACATGGCTCCCCAAAATTAATGTTTAATTTTTCAAAATATCAAAAAGTCTTATATCCACTATACTACCATTATGGACATCGCATCCTAAATGTCATCAAGCTCCTCGGTGGGGACTTCCTCGGTTTCCCCTACTTCTAATATTAACACTAATTTCTGAATCGGCCTATCTAATTCCTGAAGAGGTGACTTCCTCCTTCCATTATTGTCAATTTGAGCACCTATCGTAACCCGCACTTTTCTAACAAGCCCATCCTCATCTACGTGTGCTGTGTTGATCTTCCCAAGATGCCACTGATTTCGCGCGGCTTGTTCATCTTTGATTATTACTTTATCGCCGACTTTCAAATTTCGTCTCGGAGCAGTCCACTTCTTTCTAGATTGTAGATTAGACAAATACTCCTTTCTCCATCTATTCCAAAACTCGTTTGCTAAGAACTGAACTCGCCTCCAGCGTTTTCGAGAGTAAATATCACTTCTTTGAAATTGTCCAGGCGGAGGAAGAATAATCTTCGACTTCATCGTAAGTATATGATTTGGCGTTACGGGTTCCTCTGATAAGGGATCATTCAAATTGCCAAGAGTTAAAGGACGGCTGTTCACAATTGCTGCGGCTTCGCACATAAAAGTTCTCAAAGATTCATCGTCCAATTGTGTACCAGATTGATGCATTAGTGACGCAAGAACATTTCTAACTGACCGGATTTGGCGTTCCCAAACTCCACCCATATGACTAGCAGATGGGACATTCATTTTGAACTCTACAAAATCACACCCTTCATTCGAAAGAAATTGTCTTATACTTTTATCGTCCATTTCTGAATAAGCTTCCCGCAGTTCTCGTTCCGCACCTACAAAATTGCTTCCTCTATCTGATCTTAGATGTCTTACAGGGCCACGTATGGCTATAAATCTACGCAACGCGTTTATGAATGAACTGGTATCAAGAGAATTTGCTGTCTCTATATGTACTCCTCGGCATGATAGACACGTAAACAAGACACCATAGCGTTTAAGTTCTTTACGTCCTTCTTTAATGTACCACGGTCCAAACAAATCAACTCCACTATAAGTGAAAGGCGGTACCGGATGAAGTCTGTCAATCGGTAAGTCAGCCATTTTCTGTTCTTGAGTATTACTTCTATGTTTTCTACAAGTAACGCATGTTGATAGATATTTAGAAACGGCAGTACTACAACCAATTATCCAAAATCCGTTCGCACGTATTTCATTTATTGTCATGCCTCTTCCTTGGTGTTCGGCTTTCTCGTGGAAATGTCGTATGATTAGTTCTGTTACGTGTGAATGTCTTGGAATGATCACTGGATGTTTAACTGCTAAGTTATACTCGGCTCGTCGAATACGACCACCAACTCTAATAATTCCATCCGAATCTAGAAACGGGTCTAACTTGTATAATGATGACGTTTGTTTCAAATTAACATTTCGAATTCGGGTTGAATGTCTATCTTCATAGGTTTTACCTACACCAATCGATTGTAAAACAACTATTTCTTCGTTAAATGACGATGCTTGCAATTGTTTGATAATTTCAATCTCTGCACGTTGCATGTCGTTTACGCACAATTTACTCTCGGGTGAATTGTTTTTACTCTTATTCTGTGATCGAAGTGTGTCCTTTAGTTTTAAGCAAATGCTAACGGCTCGCTTTGCGTGATTCCAATTAGAAAAATATTCCAAGCGTTCAATCAGAGACGCAAATTCAATAACATCCATCTTAGTAGAAAATGCTTTCACCATCCGTATTTCGGGGTCATTAAGTGTCAAATCGGGTTTATTCGCATCTGCGTCGAATGATTGAAGTGTCCATAAAAATTTCGGTCCGGTAAACCAATTCGAGTTCGTCACCAAATCATTTGCACTTGCCCCTCGTGAGGCTACATCTGCAGGGTTTTCCTTCGTGTCTACATATTTCCACTGTGATGGACTAGAGTGTTCTCTAATCTGTTGCACTCGATTTGCTACAAATACATAAAATCTTCGGTTGTCGTTCGCAATATAACCGAGAACGATATTGCTATCAGTCCAAAACCACTCAGTAACGTTCTCGTATCGAAGTTCTTGTTTCAGTGGTTGACTTATTCTGACTGATACTAGAGCGGCTGACAATTCCAAACGAGGAATTGTTAATGAACGACGTGGAGTAACTCTGGCTTTTCCCATTAGAAGTGTACAATGAATAAGTCCATTTTCATCAATTAATCGGAGGTACGAGCATTGTCCATAACCTAAAGTGCTAGCATCAGAAAAATGATGAAGTTCGCATACTGTTATATTTCCAAAGTCTTTCGGTTTTACACATCTCTGAATGCCTAGCTGCGCTAGATTCTGAATGTCATTTCGCCACTGTTGCCATCTTTGTATCAAAGTTTCAGAAGGCGGTTCGTCCCAATCAATTTGATCGCTACAACATTCTTGTAGAATCTGTTTTCCAAGAAGTACGAAAGGAGAAAGAAATCCCAAGGGATCATACACGGAACTTAACGTTGAAAGTATTCCTCGTCTCGTGAGTGGTTTATTCGTAAGTTCAATGCGAAATTGAAAAGAATCGGATTCGATACACCACTGTATGCCTAGAGTCTTTGTAATCGGCAGTTTGTCATTTAATAAATCTAAGTTCTTTAGACCCTTTGCTCTATCTTCGATCGGTATTTGATTCAAAACGTCTTTTGAGTTTGACTAAAACTTGTGCAATCTTAAACCTCCTTTGTTACACATATCCTGACTTCGTTTGACTAAGCTTACAGCGTCATCGACGGAAGCAACAGACTTCAAACCGTCATCTACGTAAAAATCATTTCGCAAAAAGTCTGAAATATCTGATCCAAACTCATCTTCGTAATCGTCAGCAACTCTTTTCAGACCAAAGTTGGCACAACCCGGAGATGAAGCGGCTCCAAATAAGTGTACGTTCATACGATATTCTATAGGATCTCCATGAAGATTGTCGTCTTTCCACCACAAAAATCTTAAATAGTCTCTATGATCTTTATTAACGTTGAACTGAAGAAACATTTGTTCAATATCACAAATCACGGCGATTTGTTCTTTCCGAAATCTACACAGTACTCCAATAAGAGTGTTCGTTAGGTCAGGTCCTTGTAGCAAATGATCATTCAAAGAATGATCTTGATATCTAGCACTACAGTCAAATACAACACGCACCTTGTCAGGTTTTTGGGGATGGTATACCCCATGATGAGGTATATACCATACATGACCATCGATATCCTGTTCAGACGATTCAACCTTTTCTACATATCCCTTTTCGATAAAGTCATTCATGCTTGTAAAATAATGATTACGATATGTTTTATCCCTCTGAAGACGTCCTTTCAATTGATTTAAACGTGTTACTGCAATATTCTTGTTGTTCGGTAGAATAGGCGGGTTTTTATCTTTAAACGGCAGTGGCATAACATAATGTCCATTTTCAACACTTATTCCTTCATTAAGAATAGAAATGAATCTTTTATCATCAAAAGAAAATGAAATCTTGTCAATGTTTCTATCTGAAAAGTCAAGTTCCATCATGCGGGCGACTTCACTTGGAATTATTTCCTTAACGCTCGAACCAAACAAAAAGTAAACATGTTCTGGATCTCTACTTTTATTTCCTCTAATCGATAACTCATTCGGAACCTCGAGAGCTAGAGTTCGGTGACTGAATCCTATCAAGTCGCAGTTGTCTATTTGCAAGGGATCAACAATACCAACGATTCCCCATCCTAAATCTGTTTTTTGTCCATACGGTCCGTTATCAATTGAAGGTATGACCTCACGTGGAATAAGTGCACGAGGACAATTGTAACCAATCAATAGTCCAAACTCACAATCTCTGACGGGCATCAACTTTCCTGCAAGGTGTTCTAAATATGACCATCGACGTGCCATATCAGCTGTCGGAATATGAGATCGGTTTGCTGGCATGATGTCACGTGTAAATACGTTTGGAAGCGTTATTTTAACTTCACTGTCAAATCCCCTAACCATTAGACCTTTTATTTTACGACTGTCAACTATATGATTTTCTGCATGCATTGTAGAAAGTGAGAGTTTAACATCTGTTCCACTGAGTCCTAACGCACGGCGTGTTTCATCTAAAACAAAAGTAGTGTCCGACTGTGTGTCTAGTAAAGCATAAACGAGTCTTTCATTCTCGGGATCGTCTGAATGCGACACATAAACTGGCACAATCATAGAACTTTTGCAACTTGCTTTTGTATTGTTCATGAATACGGCTCCGGTCTGTGACTTACAATTTTCCACGGAGCCAGTTTCGAACGGTTTATCCTTGTTGACGGAAATGATCGGTTTTTGAAAGTCACCATGTAAAGACGTCGGATGAAACCTTGAACATACCTCACACTTTTTACGTTTTTGACATTTCTTCGATGTATGTCCGTACCCAAGACAACCAAAACAAAGTCCCTTTTCTTTTGCAAAGTTCTTTCGCAAAGTTCTTTCGCTCGTTCACTGATTTCCCAAGAAACTGATAACATGAATCGATGAAATGACCAGTTTTCTTACAGAATGTACATGTTTGATCCTTGTTGTAACTGTTATTGTTTTTATCAGGCACTCGCGAAGTTTCTGTTGCAAGAACGTTTCTACGCTGATTATCATATTTACCACGCTGAAATCGATTTGTCTTAAACTTGTCACTAGTGCTATTCGTAGTTTCTGATCTGACCGACTGTATCGACGTTACCGGGTCGTTTGCTATGATTGCTTCCTTTTCTACAAAATCTACAAACGTTTGAAATGAAGGAAATTCACGCTTATCTTCTTTGTGCTTCGCAACGATTCTGGACCATCGTGTTACAACCCAATCCGGTAGTTTTGACAAAAGTTTTCGATTTTCTCTATTGTCGTTTAGCGCGTTCAATGTTCCCATAGTTTTCATCGCAGACAAACACTGTTTAAGAAAGTCGGAAAATTTCCTTAGAGCAATATTGTCTCTATACAGTAATTTCGGCCAATTATCGAGTCTATCACGGAATGCATTACTGATAATAAACGGATCACCGTATCTCTTCTCAAGGAGTTCCTTTGCATCATCGTAAGCGTCTTTGAATAGACAATACTAGAAAGTTTTCAATAACCTCTCGCACTGAATCTCCGACATACTTTCGCAAGTAATGTATACGTTCAAACGTCGGAATTTTTCGTTGTTCAATAAGAGTTTGGAATGATGATTTCCACGCAGGATATTTTAAAGGATCACCAAAAAAGACCGATGGTTCGGGTGGCGGCAGCCTACTAAGACTCACTTGTTCGGCTAGTGATTTCGTAAGGTCTTCAATTTGAACGTATTGTCCTGTAACATTAGCATTGTTTACATTCTGAGGTACAAATGTTATAGCTGATGGATTAAGAGTTGCGGAACTTACGCTTGTCACAACTGGAGCCGATTTTACGTTGGTTACTATTGGTTCAGAACGCGTGTGTGTCACTACTGGCACGGAACTTACACTTTGTACGAATGACTGACTTACATTCAATGCAGACTGATCTAATATTAATTGACGGACTTTGGGTGTAGGCTTAGCTTGCCTAGATTGATCGACATTTGAGACGATTTGACCTTGACCTTGTAGACTTACAGTCGGGACAGAATGACCTTGAACTGGATACTTATAACTTATATGGTGTATTGGTTGAACTTGATCATGGTCAATATTCAACTTCTTCGGAACTGTTGACCTTGGCAGAGTAGTTACAAAATCATCATGCTCATCCTTAATATTTTCAATAATGTCAGTATCTACTTTAGCATCCGGATTAATGTGTTGAAGAAATTTATCGAGAATATTAGCTTCCGGAAGTGATCTCTTTAATTCATCTAAATCTGAGCCTTGACTAGCTTTATCGATTACATCTAGCTTGGCTTCTGTAGCCTCTAGTTCACGTATCGTTTGTATCCTTTCCAATTCTGTTTTCGCCTTCGCCTCGATTTCAATGTACTTTAATTTTGCCTTCAAGTCTGCGGCTCGCGAAGCAGTTTGTGACCGTTGTGATGCACTTGATCTATGTGAATGAGATGAATGACTAGACCTTGACTTACATGTATATGAACCTCTAGTTTCTACATTGTCTCTATCAATTTCCTGAACACGAGTCGTTATCCTTTTCATGAGATCTGCGTGATAGTTTTCACAAGTTTCGTATCGCTTAAATATCTCAGTTTCACTTTCACTAATTAATTCGGAATGACCATGTGACTCACTTTCATTTTCGATAAGATTCGATAATTGTTTATAAACACTTGTTAAATAATTCATATTTTCAACTAATATATTTCGATGTTCACGAATGATATTTGTGTCTTTTGTGTCACTTAATTGTACTTCTATTTTGTTTGACCATGACTTCCATGAGGAAACAGCCTTCCGAAAGTTTTTCTGTAAAGTATCAACTTGCCACAAAAAACCCTTATCGGTTAAACTTCGCTGTCGTGTGCTAGTACGAGTTACACCGCTAGCCTCACATATATCGCCCTCGACTTCGCCTCGGGACATCATGACTAATTATTTCAAAATTTCAAGTTATCAACAAAGGGATTTAAGCAACATAAAATCATTACCTATATATGATATCAATCAAATATGTAACCCTTTAAAATTCTAGCAAAATTTAAATGCATCATATTCAAAATAAGCATACGTTTTGTACCCATATGTTCATGCATTTCATCATGTTTAAACAGTTTTAAGAATCCTTATTATATACCCATATTCAATACTATCAAAAATCAAACATAATACAAAATATCAAAACATAGCAAATAAATCAATGCAATAAATCAATAATGAGTCAATATCTCTAGTAAAAGTTCTCTTCAACTATTCGGTCTTCTTTCTGTTGTTTCACGAATCACTCAAAATGTGTATTGTCAAAATCAATGTCTTGAATCTTTTCCATAACTTTACACCATACCACACTTTTACAGCATGCCTCATAAAAGTTCTGTCTACAATTATTACAGCATCAAAACGCATCGATCTGTAATTGTTCATCAAATGGATTCTTCCAATCTGTTTCGCAATAGTTTACACATCAGACAAGTCAATGATGCAGAGTTCTTACTGTAGCTCAACTTTTTAAGTGTGTGCATGAATTGATTAAATTTCTGATATTACTGCCATTATTAAAGTTTTATATAGTAAAGGTTTAAATAAGATGGCATAATATCGTTTGTAAGTTATATAACAAATGAGACGGATCCCTATCATAAAGACTAACATACACAGATTATAACAATAACACGGCGGTTCATTATGTTCTCCGAATCAAGTACTTATGTTTAGGGATGAAGTTTAATAACAATCTTTTCTAAAATACACATACATAAAAGGCAATGTCTAGGGTGTAGGGGGAAGATAAAACATGTAAATAAGGATATATTCAAATTTAAGACAGTTTTCAGGATTATGGATCAATTTAATGTTTCTTAATCAATATATTATATGTATTTTACACCTTTTTAATAAAGAAAAACACTTCCGCGAAAGTTCAAATCTGAGGCAAACATACAAATGTGACAAATGCATTTTAAATTTAAACAACTAAACAAAAGGTTTATCGAACTACATGTATTTATATTGAATCCTTATATTTGAAGAGTCATAGATTATGAAAAGCCATTTTTGTAGTCACGAAACTTAAAGCATCGATTGTTTTTTAATATAATAAAACAACTATTTTTTTATAAACAAATAATTAGTTTTTGTAAGAACCATTGTTTGGCTGTTTGGCCTACAATTTGTGAACATTTTTGAAACTGCCTTTTTAGGTTTTTTTTTTAATAACATTCCTTTTTTTGGATATTTCCATGTGAACTACCGACTCAATTTCTATTTCAATTGAACCGAATTTTCACGCACAATATGTCAGTTTCAAATTATAAAAGAGGTTAAAAATTGTTATCTGTGCAAATCCACATAATAGTTTTGATTTGAGATGAAAACTGATAAAACAAATCATTATCAGACACTAATAGATATCCACGGTTGTTTGCAGAAGACATTTCGTCATAGTCTTTGAAGCAATTCATTATTATATTTTAGACATATAAATACAAAGGAACACATTCGTCAGATTTGCGAAACATTCTTATAAAACAAATTTAGAAGTGTAAATAAATAAGTGTAGTTAGATGAGAAATATATTGAAAAGGGTTGTTTAAAACATAGTTACCTTTTATTAGTAGTGCACATGCAATTGCAGTATATATCATCGTAGCTTTTCTCCTGTTAGTTGGACTAATCTGAAATAAAATTGAGAATTGAAATGAGAAATGTGTCAAAGAGACAACAACCTAACCAAATAGCAGAAAACAGCCGAAGGCCATCAACACAGCGAGAAAATCCCGCACCGGAAGGCAAGCTTCAGCTGGCCCCTAATAAAAATATTTACTAGTTCTGTAATAATGGACGTCATACTAAACTCCAAATCGTACAAATGAACAAAAATTCAAAAGCATACAAGACTAATAAAGTCTCCTGACTTGGGACAGGCGCAAAAATGTGGCGGGGTAAAACATGTTTTGCGAGATCTCAACCCTCCCCTATATCTCTAGCCAATGTATAAAAAACAAACACACAGCAATACTCACTACAAACACTACTGAAAACATAGATGTATGTCATTTGTTACCTATTTTACCAGTTATACTGTATTTCTATGAATGTATGTACAAGCCTTTTTGTTGTATGTAGATATAAGAAGATGTGTATGGAATATTATAATTGCTGTTATCGACTTTCAAATCTGTTATTTTTAATTCATATACAGTTACGTATCACAAATTAACAAAAACAACAAAAAAATCGACATTTTTATACACGACGTTTAAATTGTAAAACAGATACAAAACTGGGTCTTGCTAAAAATGAAATTGATAAACCTTATGGATCGACAATAAATCCAAATATTTGAATATTGATTGGATTAATGTCCAGATATTTTTCATTCTATTTGGAATGTGAAATAAGAAAGAAGCAACAACCAAAAGAAACATGTGAACGACAAACCAACTGTTTGAAAAGAAGAAAAATCACATATAAACCAACGACTGACTGCCCTGGTAGATAACAAAATAGATGTTTTTTTTATTCCGGACGATAACGTTTGATTTTGTCAGTTTTTAGGGATTTTCCTTTCTTTAACTTTAAATACATTGGCCTTCGGTATTTTGTTATAAAATTAGTTTTTGTAACAACCATTGCTGGCCTGAAATTACCTAACAAAGATATTAATTAGTTTCCATTGTTTGATCTGATTTAATACTAATATATTTCACAGCATCCCCAAGTAAGGTATATATCTGCTTTGTTTCTGACTACTCAAAGCATTAGAATGCATTCGATAAGAGTAAAATGAATTAAGGAGTGGTGGTATAATTGAGATTCGAACATCTATAGGTTGCACTATGTAAATACAGCTATCTCATTAGCCACGCCTCTTTTGGTGAGATAAATAATATTCAAAGATATGTTTATTTGTTAACGTACTGGTTCCCAGATATAATCTCTGTGTTTCATCTCATAGAGACATCACTTGGGAATGCTGCCAGTATAGAAAAACATGGTAGCGCCTAAAATTTAATTCATAGGAGGTCCAATAGTGGAGGTAGGGGTAGTATAGAATTTAAGTATAAGTTTAGAAGTTCAGAGCATATAAATGTTGAAAATATGCCGCACAGCCTTATATTTCAACCTTTGAATAAAATAGTAGTGTCTATCAACTTTCCGTTGTAAGATATAATTTGTCACGGAACTTCAGAGTAAAAGTGGCACAGTTTAAGCCGCAAAAGGGAGTTCCTACGGAAATTGCATTGTCTATCTTTAAAGAATTGCAACTTATATAGGGTTGGAAAAAATGAACATATAGAATTTCACCAAATCTGGTTTATATCAGAGATTTAAATGAAATTAGCTCAAATACAATGTTTGAAGAATATTGCATGAAGATTGAAAAAATCCTGGGACTTAGCTATGATGACTCAGCATAAATTCACAGTTCACAGTATGCATAGGTTCCTTAAAGGCTTAAATTCAAGATAAATTCTTAATGTATGCATATTTGTAATTTGAATTGGTTAGAAGTGCTTATATTTACTCTTCGCAGTCATTGAAACTCATAGATCCTTCCTGAATATTGTTTTGGTGGTGTTTTTGTTCTGTCGATAACCAAAAAGTAAGCCGTTATACCTGAATGTGCTTATTTGTGACCACGGCATAAAAAAATACAAGCTAAAAATTCAAAAATACCTCAATAAAACTTACAATAGTGTGTTTTATCCTAAATATGTACTGAATATTCCATATTTACAGAAAAAGCAGAATAATTTGGCAAATGTGAGGGCCAAGTGGCAAAAAAAACTAAAGAAAAATGCCTCCCCTTTTGGTCACAAAACAGACAATGTAACCTGTAAATGTATGATTTTATTATTTTAAAGGTCTTTTCTATAGGAAACAATAACTGTGCTTTAAAATTGTGCAAAAACAGATGTGAGCAGTCAGTTCTTTAAAACTTATGTAAAGTAATACATTAGTCTGGTAAACTCATTAATACAACATTTGAAAATATGGCGCTGTTTGAACACTTCTAGTTCATATATTAGCTAAATTATGTTAGATATATTGTTAGAAATGGTATTGTTGTGACAACATTTCTACACTGACTATTTGAGGTAGAACTTGTTAATTTTAATTGACAAATAGGCATACAGAAATATGTGGACTTGGGACAAAGGCATAGTGGGAGATATAAGCAAGCAAAATCGAGAGAATTGTGCAAATGATGATACAAGCATGAAAATTAGCACAAAGCATCATTATTATACACTTTTTAAGAAATAAACTGCTGGTCATAACAAACAATCTTTTTTTCCAGATGACCACGGCCATGGATGTTTTTTCCAGTTCGAAAATACTTATTTTTCTTTGAAACTTTTTTCTTTGACCTTCTTTTAGTAAAAAATATTATCAGGTTTGGTGGCTAAATTCCTTACATTTGACGTAGATACTAGAAATACATATTTGACTCTTCAGGGTTTGCACATGCGCGAAAATGTAACAAACATTTGAACTTTTTACTATATACTTAGGGCTTTGGATTTTTAACAATATTATGAATTGGTTTGATAACATAAATTACATGTTTTGTATTCCCGTTTGAGTGGTTTTACACTAGTAATTTTATGGGGCCCTTTATTGCTTGCTGTTCGGTGTGAGCCAAGGCTCCGTGTTGAAGACCGTACTTTGAGCTATAATGAACGCACTTCCCTACATTTTGACCTTTGAATAAAATAGTAGTACTTGATAGTAAAAGTAGCAAAGTATAAGTCGCTATGGAAAATTGCATTGTCTACATTTACAAAATTGCAACCTATAAGAGTATACGATATGAACTTAAACAAACATCGGTAACCGAACGGTCTACAGCAATGAGTCAAACCGATACCTTATAAGCAGCTATACAAAGCTCAAACATTGACAATATGAAACACAACTTAAAAGATAACGAACACCAAATAATGATATAATTAAAAAAAGTGGATGGTTAGATATGCTTGCCAAAGCCTTATCCTTCCCTTAATCTGGGACAAATGTTATAACAGTACACTGTTAGAACCAATTGTAAAAATGTTTAAGAAATAACCTGACTCATTAAGTCAGCATGATTCAAGTTAATGTGAAAAACTATAGACATGGACACTCCTTTTACGACTAAAACTCGGCATCTTTTAAGATGAAGTTTCTTACAATATTATATGCTAGAATAAGGAGCTCATATGTACTTCTATTTTTTCCAAGGTCAACACATAGGGCATATTTTCAACATTTATATGCCCCAACTTCTAAGAGTTAACATGTTTATCAAAATTATGTACTACCCTTCACTGCACTTTAGGTCTTCCTCATAAGTCAATGTCGCTTCTATCAATGTGTTTGTATACTGGTAACATTTTTTTCAAGTTATCATTCATTGAGATAAATCAAAGAGATCATATTTAAGTACGTTAATAAAAACAAAATATCTATGAATATTATATATCAAAAGAGGCGTGGTTTGTTAAAAGCTTTATTGAAAAGTGCAACCTTATATCATAGCTAAACGTTCAAATCTCTCTGCACAACGGTTAAAATAATCTGTGCTTAGACTTATATAAACTGTTGAGGGACAGTTACTCAATTTTAGCGTTTGACTTGTTAGAATTTGTCCAATTGCAAACATGTAAAAATCTGTTCCAGGGTTGCATTGTCCAAAGTTTACTCTCGTGTAATAACGTAAAATGACGTAAATATAAAGAGCTCTATCTAAACCTCATCATGTTCTTGGAGAATGAAATTACATAATATGAAAATTACAGATTGAACTGTATTGCAACATATAAATGAGTAATTGTATACATATAGATTCTACCACTGCATCGAGTGTGATACGATATTTATCAACTCGAGACAGTTAAATTTTCATATTTAAAACGCGAGGCTTGTCGAGCGTTTTAAATATTTAAAATTTAACTGTCGCGAGTGGATAAATATCGTATTACACGAGATTTGGAGGTGGAATCTGTTTCTCTAATGATTTTCAAACAATACGCAGGCAAACTTATTCCTTCTTTTCGAATGATCTTCCAAAAAAAATGTCTTCTTTCTATGTGACGTCATCAGGCATGGTCGCCTCTTTTCCTGCCGTCACAATAGGAAATTCAGAGGAAAGCAAGAAAATTCGACGTCATTATAGGATTTTAGCCAATGAAGATATGAGATCAAACGAACCACACGTTGATTAATTTTTTTATACAATGGGTGCAGAAAGGGATAAATCGACGAAGAAATAGAGAAAATTTATATATATAACGCAAAGGCAAGGGCATATAAAACTGACAAACAATAGGAACAAAAATTCTTCAATCATAAAAAAATGTAATAATAGTTTTAGGTAACAAGGTTATTCTAGACCCTTTTGAATGAAATAATATAGTTGAGGAGAAAACAACAAATACATACATACATACATACATAAATACATACATACATACATACATACATACAAACATACATACATACATACATAAAATTGAGAATGGAAATGGGGAATGTGTCAAAGAGACAACAACCCGACCATAGAGCAGACAACAGCAGAAGGTCACCAACAGGTCTTCAATGCAGCGAGAAATTCCCGCACCCGGAGGCGTCCTTCAGCTGGCCCCTAGACAAATATATATACTAGTTCAGTGATAATGAACGCCATACTAAACTCCAAATTGTACACAAGAAACTAAAATTAAAAATAATACAAGACTGACAAAGGCTAGAGGCTCCTGACTTGGGACAGGTGCAAGAATGCGGCGGGGTTAAACATGTTTATGAGATCTCAACCCTCCCCCTATACCTCTAGCCAATGTAGAAAAGTAAACGCATAAAATACGCACATTAAAATTCAGTTCAAGAGAAGTCCGAGTCTGATGTCAGAAGATGTAACCAAAGAAAATAAACAAAATGACAATAATACATAAATAACAACAGACTACTAGCAATTAACTGACATGCCAGCTCCAGACTTCAATTAAACCTATTGAAAGATTATGTCTTCATCATATGAATATCAGGCACAATCCTTCCCGTTAGGGGTTTAGTATCATACCATCATAACATATATGAGAAGAACATAACCCGTGTCATGCCAACAACTGGTTTTTAAATAAATGTGTTTAGTGCCGATGCAAAGACCCTATAAGTGAATCAATAATAACGCCAAAATATGCAATCTTTAATGACCTGACAACAGTATCGTAACTATATCCCTTCTTAATAAGTCTATTTAAAGGTTTTGTTAGCTTCAGAGGTGAATACTGACATTTTTGTGCTTTATAAAGAATATTTCCATAAAAAATTGGATGTGAAATACCTGAACGTATAAGAAGTCTGCATGTTGAGCTATATTTACGAATGATGTCCTTATACCGATGATAAAATTTAGTAAATGTTTTGACTAGTTTGTGATATCGAAAACCCTGGTGTAATAATTTTTCAGTAATACATACATTTCTCTCGTTAAAATCTAAAACATTGTTACATACACGAGCGAATCGTACAAGTTGAGATATATAAACACCGTAAGATGGTGACAAGGGAACGTCACCATCTAAAAATGGATAATTAACGATAGGAAATGAAAAATCATCTCTTTTATCATATATTTTAGTATTAAGCTTTCCGTTAATGATATAGATATCAAGATCGAGGAAAGGGCAGTGGTCATTGTTAGTATTAGCTTTATTTAAAGTAAGTTCAACAGGATAAATTTCTTTAGTATACATACTGAAGTCGTCATTATTTAGAGCCAAAATATCATCCAAATATCTAAAAGTATTATTAGATTTGTGTATCAGATGTTGTTTCGATGGGTCTTTGCTGATTTTTGTCATAAATTGTAACTCATAGCAATACAAAAAAAAGGTCCGCAATAAGTGGTAAACAGTTAGTCCCCATTGGAATTCCGATAACCTGACGATATACGGAATCTCCAAAGCGAACAAAAATGTTATCTAGTAAAAATTCAAGGGCATATATAGTATCAAAGCATGTCCAATTGACATAGTTTTTTTGTTTATTGCTACTAAAAAATGACCTAAAAGAGTTTGAACATATATATTCACATTCTGACTTTTTAAATGCCCATTTAATTAGGTGTGTGAATTTTTTCTTAATGAGAATGTGAGGCAATGTGGTATATAGGGTAGAAAAATCAAAACTTTGAACAGATTCAAAATCACCAATATATGCATGCAATTTATCAAGTACTTCCAACGAGTTCTTGACACTCCAAAAGTAATTAATTCCACTATTTTCGAACAATTTATTATCAGGTTTTTGATTGTACCAAGTGTACTGGTAAGAAGAATAGACAATTTAGTAGTGGAACAATGGCTTGAAGACGAAATGAATCTATATTTGTAAGGTGTTTTGTGTAGCTTCGGAAGCCAATACAAAGTTGGGACTTTCATTGTATTAGGTTCTGCTTGTAAAGCGGTAGCTCAAAGTTTATGTTTGTTACAGATGTCGTTTTCTGAAAATGGAGTCAGTTGGAATGTTGGTGAATTGGTGATTTCTTTTTTCAGAACCTCAATGTAAAATTTACGTCAAACAATAATAATATTATTAGCAGCTTTATCGGCCGGGACAAAAAACAAATTCCTTGGCTAGTTCTTTTAGTTTATGTTTGATACGAGAAATAGGTTTATGTTGGTTATTGTTAAGAGTAAAATGTTCTTTAGAATGTTGAATACGTATATCAACTATGTTCATTACTGATTTAAAAAAAGAGTCCAAAGATTTTTTGTCAGCTTTTTCCCGTTTTATCCATTTCAAACAGTAAGTATGGAGTGAGTCGTGGATGATATTACGACACTCATTCCAATTAATAATTGACGGGGGACGATATTTAGGTCCTTTACTGAGGAATGATTTTAACTCTCGGTCTTGAACGATGTTAAGGTCTCCGGTTATAACATGGGAAATGGGTCCATAAATGTATTCGGAGTTACTGCAATTACATGAAGTAGGTGTATTTTCACTGATATTAACATCTTTACACAATTGGCTATAATTAAACACAAATATCCGGGTAGATTTCTTGTCAATATAACAAATAAGAGGGAGCTCAGTATTATCAAAATATCCCGGAATTTGTTCTTTAACAGAATGGTCGTTAAAAATACCGGCAATATTTACAAAATCAAAACCTTTATTGACATACTTTATTTAAACAAACTGTTTTTCATGATCTTCAGGGCGATCAATTTTGGGAAACACTTCAGAATAACAATATGCCATTATAATTTGAACGATTTCATACTTAGGACTGCTATATGAAATTGTGTTGAAATCCTCTAAAATTTTATTTAACTTATTAACCGGTAATGAACAGAGCTTTGTTAACAGATAATGTCTGCCGTTGTTTTTTAAAATAGAAATTAGGTCCGAAATATTGGTATGATTGGTCCGAAATTTTCTTTGATTGCGATTTTTTCTACGACCATGAGAACGGTTTTTACGAACAGTTTAAGAAACTATATCCAAAATGTTAACATAATCGGTTCTTGATATATTACCAATTCCCATGATATTATCATTAAGACCGAGAGGGTAGACTGTCTGTAATTTTTTAATCCAATTTAATTCAATTATTTTCCGCGATCGTACAAACTTTGAATGAGATTCACCAGGCTGCTTATTTACTATATACATACATACATACATACATACATACATACATACATACATACATACATACATACATACATACATACATACATACATACCATACATACATACATACATACATACATACATACATACATACATACATACATACATACATACATACATACATACATACATACATACATACATACATACATACATACATACATGCATATAAAAAAAATATCAGAAACCTATATTTCTCATTAAAACCTAGATACATCGATGGGACTTTTTTTAAGAACCAATCCGTATGATAACAAGCTTCATTTCGAGGCTTTTATAGCTGACTATGCGGTATGGGCTTTACTCATTATTAAAGGCCGTACGGTGTCCTATAGTTGTTAATTTCTGTGTCATTTGGTCACTTGTGAAGAGTTGTCTCATTGGCAATCATACCACATCTTCTTTTTTATATTCAATGAAATTATACTTCAGTGCATCACTTAAGTACTTGTGTCAGGTCATTATGTACTCCGATAAAAAAATGCAATCGACAGTGTATTCCTTTAATAGTAATCTTTTGTTGTTGCCATCTATTAAATTAAAGTCTTACAATTTTTTTCTGATTCTCAATTGTTCAGGAAAATAGAATTGGACATTAGAAAGTGAAAATAATTCTTGTGAATTATGTTCGTTTTAAATTATTAAAAAAACAATCTGCTTTTCTCCGAAAGAATATCAGGAAATGGACATGATACTAACATTTCTATACTAGAATAGAATTATTTTCCATGAAACCTGGTGTCAAATTTTCGCACCCCCCCCCCCCCCCCCCCCCTCCTCCCTGAAATAAAGTCAAATTGAATATTACATACCTATAGTCAGTCTTTCTTTAGACCACTCTTGACAACCCTCGTTCTGTATTACGCCAAGATAAACCTTAAAAAGTGTATATAATTTGAGCTGCGTCAGAAAGCAATCGACAATATGCAAATAAATATTTATACATCTGTAATCATATTGCTGGCTGAAAAAATCTCTATGTAAAAACAAAAACAAGAAGCTTTATGATTGCAAATGAGACAACTATCCACTTAAGTTCAAATAAAGTAGACGGAAGCAATTATTGACATCCGTGCGACCTTCAACACTATAAAACCATACCATTTAGTCGACTATAAAAGGCCCGATATGAAAAACATTTGAAACAATTCAATGTAATAAAACTTTAGGCCCAAATTTATAACAAAACAGTATGTAACAGTTTGAAATGGAAGTTTAAATAAGAACTCTACAAAACAGACCAGCATCACATTTTTAATTTCCAAAATTAATAAAAGTCTTATACATGAACATATAAACGTAGACTTACATAAGGTCGATTTCCATCCGACACAACTAATTTATAATATACATCCTTTTACTTTCGGGTATTTATTTGGGCGCTTCTAGTGAATGTAAGCCGTACAACAGTTTCGGGCGCATACAATTTTCATTATGTTTTTTTTTTCTACAGAAACCAACCATTTATTGCGATGACAATAAAACTTAAGCTTTGAATATTTTGGCTTTGCCGTATTTATTATTGATTAAGTTAATGTCGTTTCACTACAAACTGCTCTGAGTCTGAAAAGACCATATTTTGTGCTCGACCAGTAAAATCGAGCACAGATTTTACTCGACTAGTCTCGACATTGTTTCGACATTGTCTCGACAGTACTTAACTGTACTTAACTGTACTCGACTTTTGTTTCGACTTTTGTCTCGACTTTACTTAATAAGTCTGATTCAGTACTTGATGATCTTGGTGTAGTCTGAAATGGTCTCGACTCAGTCTCGACTCATTATCGACTAGTCTCGACCTGTCTTGACCTGACTACACTAGTCTTGACCTTCAAATTTAGTCCTGACTGGTCTGAATCAGCCCATCTTGCTAAATAAAATATAGATCTAATAAAATTCCAGTTAATGTGGTAGTTTGGTTCATTGCTGTGAAATTAAAGATTTAATTAATAGGTCAACAAAAATTTGATAAAATTAATCTTTAATTATTTCTATAACTTTTTCAAATCAACTTGGATTTTCATAAAACTCTACAGCTATCTCAATTATACTTTGATCTTACGGAATGCCAGGTTATTTGGTTGTTTGATTTATTGCTGTCAAATTTGAGGATTTAATTTATAGGTCAAAAAAGCTCAAATTTTCAGTCGTACTGAATTCAGATAGTCAACTTTAAAGTTGTTAATTTATTTTTCAAATTAACTTGGATGTTCAAATATCTATACAGCTATCTCAGTTATATACTGAACTTACTGAATCCCAGATCGTTATGTAGTTTGGCAAATCTAGGTACAAAAAGCTAGAATTTGCAGTTCGGACTAAATTCAGCTACTTATAAACCAGGTTTAATCCACTATTTTCTACATAAGAAAATGTTTGTACCATGTCAGCAATATGACAGTTGTTATCCATTCGTTTGATTTGTTTGAGTTTTTTATTTTGCCATTTGACTACGGACTTTCATGTTGTTTTTTTTAATATAGATTTATAATTATAAAAAAAAAATTAACAGCAGACTAACTTTATTCTCAAAGAGCAACAATAATAGCCAAACGCGATAACGATTTTACTTTTATAGAATACTTTAATATCAGTTATCGATACTTTAATAAAAAAATAAAATATCAAACTAATCGAGAGTTTATTTCTGATAGAAAATAACACTTGCTAAATAAGTGCATCAGAACCCTTTTTTTCTGAATTTACTTTTAGCCGAAACACTCAAACTTAAACATTGGAAGGTCAGGGGAGTATAACAACATATACACGTAAGACGCTATGTTACTAAAATGAGACACACACATGATAATAAGAATGAGGGTGTTAGAATTTTTGTTTCTTAGTAACTTATTAATTGATAGAAAAATATGTGAAGATGATCATAGTCCAAAATCTATCTCAAAATAACACTTTTTTTCAGTGAAAATATGTAGAGATGAAAGATGTGAATTTGCATGAATTTTTCAGTAATCAGCAACAGTGTACAGTACAAACTTTGTATTTAAACAGAACTATAAAACTACAAACAAATGAAAATAAACGTAAACTTATTGAACCATAAGGACCAATGTTAAAATATCTACAAATAAGATGAGATATCGTGAACGTTTATAAAAATAGATATATGGTCTAACAATATATACCTTTAAACCTTCAGTCTACAAGAAGTTAATAAAGTAGTTATAACAATATTACCTGGTGTTTACTTTTGGGGTACTCCGGGGGATTTTCATTAGATTATAATAAAATAATTTTTTTTTGCAAAATGCATCTCAATTGCATAATTTTACAAACTGTAAGATAATGTGATATGATGAAAAAAAAAAAAAAACACACCAAAACTAAAAAAACCAAAAACAACAACAACAACAAACAGAATAAGCATGATCATATTATTACAGGTGTGTTCTTGATATTGAACTTTTGAAGTAAAATATTTACAAAACAGTATAAAAAGTAGTTTGATACGTTTTGAAAAATTGCTGCCAAAATGTAAGTATCACTTTACTTATTTTCTTTTATTTGAATCATAACATTTTAATAACTTACTTAAACCAGTGCCAATGTTAATGATATCCACACACATATGATTTACCAATTCATTTATACTACACGATTGTCAAATTGGATGATTGACTATGCGCAATCTTTATCTTGTTTTAACAGGTGTAGATATTACACCATAACTTCACCAAGGTTTTCCTACAATCGTTTACATTTGTACTTACGACATTTTTGGAATTGATTATTTTTTTGACTAAGTAAGTATTATTTCTAAAGTATTGTTAATTCTATAGAATGAGTTTACGACGTAGAAGTGAAAATCATCTGGTCATGCGATTAAAAAGTTATTAAAGTAGTACTTTTGATAAACAGATTCAAACTCAGTTTTAAGTTTCGTCAGGATTTTGTTTGAGAAATTCTGCTTTTTATGTGTAGTACAACTTTGTCGTTTATCTTATTAGTTTATTTAACGTTATTGGTGTCCCCTTTATCACAATTGTATGACCATATTTTGTTTTAAATATAAGAGGTACCAAAAAGGTTATTTTTCTAATGTTTTATTGAAATACATGACGTTCAATTATTAAGCTTATCATTATATATATATATCTTTTTAATATTACATTGGAGTAGAAGAAATATGTTGTTTGTTTATAACATTACAACCAAGTAATATTGAAGGCAATTTTTATTTTTGAATTAATTAACCGTTGACGAAAATATAAACACTCTGTCTGATATTGTCTGGACACTTTCTTTAAGATGTTTGAATATGTCTGAATACATGCAATTTGAAAATTCAATGTAAATAAATACTTGATTTTCTAATGGGACTTTTTAAATCTCCTCATATGTATCTAGGGCTTTATGGATAAAGCCTCTAAAGTACAGCCCCATTATTTTCTATTGTTTAATTTTGCAATTGCAAGCATTCATACATATTTTGTCTAAAATTCAAGCACACAAGTTCCCGAAACTTTAGAAGAAGGAAAACAGGCAGTTCTGATCCAAACAACAGGGCAATTATACTATCCTATCTAAAAGTCAGTTTCCTTTTATATCTTATAAAAAATTTTCAAAAAGGGTTCTACAGTAAAAACAAGTCAAAACACTTTCATTTCGTACCAATATTACCGAAATGTTTAACTTAATGACCAAGTTATAGCTATGCGTAAGAACTATACTTTCGCCTAGTCGTTGTCATAGATGCATATCCCTTGTATATATTAGAGATTCCAAGAGAACATTGTAACAGACGGAGACTAACTACCATGATGTTGATATTTCTAACTCATTTTGTTTTCATTAAAATATAAGAAAAAGTGTCCAACAGTGAACACATCAGGCTCCGTGGCACCAGGAGGCCATGTTGAAGACCATACTCTGACCTTTAATTGTTAACTTTTAATACATTGTGACATCGATTAGAGTTGTTTCCTTTGCACTCATACCAACATCTTCCTATTCTTATATGAATTATATTACATATTTTCCTGTTGTTTTATCTATGTCTATTTTGATTTAAAAATGCATATATTTACAAAATCGTTCAACTGCAACAACTATAATATGTAAATCGATGTAATGAATGAGATGCAATCTTAACAACGAGGACCTAAAACTACACTAAACTATTTTTAAAATTTTTTTTTTAAATATAAAGATACATTTCTGCCAAGAATGGAATTATTCCGAATAAGTACAAAATAATTCAACTAAAACGGATGCATATCAAAAATTAAGACATACTAAACTTCAGTCACATATTAAATAGTCATAAAGGTTTCGTGAAGATTATTTCATTACTTTACAATGTTACCGGTTTTTTTTCAGTTGTAAAAGATACGCACAACATAGCACAAAGCATTCATGAAATTTATCGGAATGTTATTTTATTTAAAATTGATAGATTTTATTTTGATATATAGCGTATTAAATCTGTTTGTAATGCATTCGATTATGAATTTATTATTTGAACTTTTGTTATGCTTTATAAAACACGACAAAAATCTGTTTGTTTATATGGTCGGGTACATGCATTCTGAATTGAATATGTTGCTATCAAACAAGGTCCCTTACATGCTCGTTAAAATATACTGGTCAATAATTTGCTGTACATGATTTGGCTTAGAGTAACAACAAGCAGATACCAGTTTAAGAGTAAATTTCAGTAGCTTTCTACATGTATAAGACATTTTTGGTTGGTTCTTGTAATTGTTCATAGAAGTTTTGAATAAGAATATCCATGGTGTACAGTCACTTTTTTATAACTCATACAGTCCACATGGCTATATATAAAAGTATTCCAAATACACATTAAAATCTATATTTAATTATTGAAATACACTAATTAAGTAAAAACTATTGATAACTAAATCATTTTGATTTAAACTATACAAAACATGCATAATGATAAATTTTAAAGACAAGTTTTAATTTCATGTATGTGTCAGTTAGTTTATGTTTTTCCAATACAGTTATCTCTTAATGAAACTATATGAAATTTTTATGAACTATAATTTCAACATTATTTAAGGAAATAAGTGACTGTCGTTATGGTATCAAGAATATTGAAACGCACACAGATATGTTTTTGGTACTTAGCATTTGGTAAGTCAAATCGTAATGTACTCATGTGAATGTTTCTATTTGTTTACATAATGGGTTTCATTGTCAGTCTGTCAAACGTTTCTAACAATGTAGAGAGTATAAACTTTCCCTTAAAGATAAGATGGTCTACGATCTTCTACACACAATTTAGATGTGTTTTCTTTAAATTACCTCCACTTTAACATGTATATTCAGTAATGAGTTTATTTTCTATAAATTTACCGATGATTAAAGGTGGAATTTACGCGCGACTGGATTGACACATGATAAGCCTAGTATCTTTGACAACCACTGGGTCTATGCAAATGATGGTCGACATTTCACCAAGAAGGTATTACCAAGCCAAGTAATCCAACTTTAAAATTTAGTACTGTTCGTGATTAAATCACGAAAGGTATTAATTTTTTTCATATTTTTTGTATTAGGAAAGTAATAAACTGAAAATTAAGATATAGTTATGGTCAATGTAACTGCAAAACAAACGCATGAAAAGGTTGCTAAAAAATAATAATCGATTATAGTTACACTTTTGTCATGATTTACTTTTATTTTGGAGTATACACATTTACTGCAGCTTATGAAATATATAATTTCAAGGGAAAAGTTATTGAGAGCACCAATACACCAGCGATCGAATTTACTTGTAAAACTTCCCAACGTCCAATTGGAGATAGTATAGTGTTTCTCCTGAACGACAGAACTACAAATGTCATGCGCGTCCATGGTGGAAAATGTTACGATAACCATGGAGAATGCACAAACTGTACTTGTTTACTTGATCACAATAACATAACTTTCACATGGATGTATACTATGACTGTTCCCTGTCACAACTGTACATTTGGAGCTGACATGAGCTTTAGAAATGAAGGAAAAACCAGGAACGTTTACTTATACATGATATACAACTGCAAAGGTATTTCAAAATTACGTTGTCACTCATGGTTTAGGTTACGTTATGCCATTCGACCTTGCAATTCCATCAAAATCTTGATACAATTTGAATATTCGAGATCTGTAAATTTTAATTTTCTACATTATTAACTTGCAGCAAAAAAGGAAACAATAACAAAAACACAAAAAATAAAACTTTTACACAGATGAACGTTGATGATTATATAAAAACCCTGTGACTGATCAGAACAGGATGCATTCATACTTTGACACACACATAAACGCACATGAATATTCTTGTCATGTTCTATACAGTAACTTTTTTCCATCACAATTAGAATTGCCAAAGAAACTGATTCCATGATATATCAATAAATTCAAGCGAACATGCTTTTGTAAAAGAGTATTTTGCAATAAAGTTCAGAAAACAATAAATATATCCACGACCTTAAGGAAACATTTGATTTCTTTTATTGTATTTTATAATAAATTGTAAATTTAACATATGCTATAATTTGCTTTAGAGTTAGGGCCCTTTCAAACTGAAACACAAGTAGTTCATCATGATACAGCACAAGGGAAGGGTAAGTTAATGATTACAAAAATACTTCAATGAAGCTTGACACATCTGCAATAATTGAACATGCAAAACACCAACGTAAGTTTATAATTTTAGAAAATTCAAGATTTGTGTTACACAGATATTCTACTTTAGAAAAAAGTTATATATATTTTTTTTATTGGCCTACAACTAGCTTTCGGTAATTGTGAGTAGCTGGTTCATTGGCCTTGCTTTGTGTCAATCAGATGATGTACTGTTTAAAATGAGTTTTCACATTAAGTCCTTTTACTCTGTTGGTCAAGATAGGTTTTGCAAACATTTGTTGCACCAGGTCACTTTTATTAGTGCCAGTCTCAACACATATTTTGCTGGTATCTCATTTGTTGATTTTTTTTCTTTTGTGGATTGTTTTATACATACATCAGGTTGCACCATTGAATTGTTTTCGTTGTTTATGTCTGGAACCTTTTAAGCTTTTTATACGATATGGTTGAAGCCATTGGATGGCATACATATACTACAATCTATGTCGTTTGGCCTCAGTTGGAGAGGTGATTCGTTTGTAATTATTTAGCAAGATTGAATGTTCTTGATTTCGAGAAATTTTCTCTAAATTGAGAACTGCAATCGGTGATAGTGCGCTAGCGTGCCCGTATAGACTGATGGAGGTCTCTTGTTTTATTACCGGCAACAGATATATGTGTTTACTTTACTAAAAAGAATGAAGCATTTACTGAAAACACTGATGGGCCAAAGTTTTGAATAATGTGTAAACATGTATTGATTAGTATTATTTTGGTTGAGTTTGTTTCAATTGGTTGATTGGTAGATTGATAGATTGATATGGCGATGACAACTTTCAGAACTGTTGACTGTATTATGACGACAAATGTTTATTGCTTGACATGCTGTATTGTCTATTCAAGTCAAAAAGTCAACGCCTAGCCTGACAGAATTTGAAGTCGCATTCTCAGAGTTTACAAACTACTAAGATCAATTGGTCACTCGAAATCGAATGATTCCGT